GAATAAAGTTTTATTCATAGCAATAATCATTCATAATTAACAAACAAAGAATTATGATTGAATCGATATATATAGTGGGAGAGAACAAATCAGATTACGGTGGAGGAAGAAATCAAGAAGAAACGCTGGAAGTGGATAGACATGAGAAAAATGAATAATAATTGGATAGAACTAGAAAGGAAGGTCTAGGACAGAGTCGGTTGGAAAATGCTGATCAGCGGCCTATTCTTCATTGGAAGTAACAGGCATAAGTAATATATATATCAAATAAATATATTAGCTAATATAGTTGGAGTAAAAATTTATTACAGAGAGAAAGTTTATGCAGAGAAAAACAAAGATGATGAACTCTTATTAAACTGTTGGTGATATGAACAATGAATGGATAAAGAACTTTCGGGTCATAATTCACAAAATTGTCAAAAGCACATTCCAAATGTTAAAGCAAACAACTTTAAGATATTTCTATTGACCTGTATTATTGGTCAAAATGTAAACAAGGAAGAAATTTTTACTACTACTAATAGTAGTAGTAGTGCAATACATATTACTTATGTATGCAGATACAGGTAGTATGTAACATCAGTCAGAAGTGTGATGTCTGCAAGCAGAATGTTGAGAAGATTGAGATTAAGAGAACAGAGAAGGAAACGGAGAACAATCATGATAACAAGAATGAAGGAACAATAAAGTTTGTAAGAGACAATTCAAAGATGTGAAAAGGATATATTAGATGTATGATTTCTACATCTTACTAAAACACTGTGTGATTGTGCATTGAAAAACAAATTGGTCTTCCCCAACTTAGTGTTCATTTACTGCAGTAATAGTGAAAAAAAAACTACAACCGTATGATTCAGTGATAGGCATCGTTATAAACTGAAATCAGTACTTAATATCTGCACAGTTTTATTATATTCACATATCTTTCAATTTGATTCAGGCAAAGAGTTGGAATTCAACAGTAAATGTTTCAAATTCTACAGTTTACAAAATATCCCATTGCGTAACTTTATGGTATTACAGACGGAAATATTTTCATCGGTTAATCATTATGTATGTTTAGGCTAATATTAGCTTCTTAATGTTTTGAAATTATATAGACGTTTTGGATTATCGCCTTTCATCTTTCATTTTGATGATATATTGTCAAAAAGCTGACAATCACCAGCCAAAAATTCTGACAACCAACAAGCAGATAATATTACTAGCAACGTTAAATCTTCTACCAATCAGAACTAAATCCAAAACGTTCATACTAAGTTATCACAATACTGTTACGCATTACTAATGATTAATAAGAATTACATGATCTCTTTATTCTTGCTAATAATTATCCATCAAATAAATCCGACGATCTTATTTATAAAATATTGTATTGCCTTAAGTAGTTGTAACATTGTAACTTTATAGATAGAATCCGATTAACATAGGACGCATTCTACAATTCATTTAATCACTAACCTTAATTCTTTTCTGTTGTCGAAAAAAACAACTGAATAGACTGAAGCTAGACCATCATTTCGTCCTATTATGGGACTTTTGGGCTCGAGTCTCTCTAGGCGGGATCGTGGATACACACTACTGAGGAGTCTAACACTGGGATGAAACGGCTATCCAGTACTTTCAGGTTTTCCATAATGGTCTAGTTTCAATTAACTCATGATTTCAACCATTTAAATTACTATAATATCCACAAAAATCCCCTACTGATATTAATCAACATGTGCTCACTAGTGATTGACTTCAAAAGGTATTTCTTGCAGTTTTAATGAGAAGCAGTGACCAGTGGAGTTCAACTAGGTCTGTTGTGAGATATCAGCTCACCGAAGACAATGGTGTACGGTGGTGCAACTTCGTGGAATGGTTGAAGTTAGACATCTGTTGGATGCCATCCGACTCATTGGTCTAATGGTTAAGTGCTCGCGCACGAGACTTATAAATCCTAGATTCAAATCTCGCGGAGGGTGAGATTATGAATGCGCACTGTCAAGGAGGAGTCCTATACTAGGGTGAAACAGCCATTTAGTGCTCTCAAATTTTCCATAGTTGTCTAACTTCAATTCACATCATCATCTTAACCACTAAAAAATTACTATAATATCCACAAGATCCCTTCTGATTTTTAAGTATTTATGGGTAAAATTAAAAAATAGAAAACTTTTTTTTTATAAAAAAATTTCATTGAATTTCTCACATCATTAATTTTCCACCCTCATTTTTCTATATACATTTTCACGTTCAATAAGTATGTCCTATTTTGTCGGTATTATGATTATGATTATGATTAAAAAATAAAGGCATGAATTCAACCGATTGCATACAATCATTAACAGTTACTATGTAATTCATTCTATGAGTATAAAAGTAAAAAAAATTATTATTATTATTTAGTTTACATTTTTACTCGATTTTTCTAATCACCAACTAACTATAAAGTACTTTCAAACAAAAAGGAAATTATTTTATCTTTTTTATTATTTTTTTTTAAAATTATTTATTTATGTTCATTTTGGGAAGGGGGAACATTTATTTGTCTATCTGATAAGATCTTGTTTTCCCCCACACCACCCTACCCTACCCTACCCTAGCCCACCTCACCTGTCCACTCCACTCCCCTCCCCTCCTCGAAAAAATAAAATTTAATAAATTTTATATTGTTTAACCAACAACTAAAATTACAACATCAAAAGTATTCTTTTATAATAAGAAGACAATTTAATAAAGTCGGTACTAAGGAACGTTAGATAAAATGTATACGATAGTTTAATAAGGGTAGAATATAAAATTAATTGGATTGTATACTTAAACTGATTGTATAAACAATACACGTAAACAATATGAAAGTAATAGACCATTTATCAATGGAATAAACTACTCTCAATAGGTTGTTTTATTTTGTGTGTTTTTTTTAAAAAAATAAGCGTTTATATGATAAAAGTCAATGACATCAATGTTGCTATGATGTTTGATCATAGTATCGTTTTAACCTGTGAAAGTTATAATTCCATTTATTGGGTTAACTTTAATTCAATATAGAGTTTTTATTTGAATAGTTCATTTCATAACTCAATGAGTTTATATTAGAATTCTTTTTAGGTAAACTGGTATTTAATTACTTTTATACTTGTGTTAATCTGATATCTATTCCAGATTATGTAGAAAGTTTATGTTATGTTATACATTCTACTGAAATCGTTTGGTTTATAAATAGTATTGTGCCTGATCTATAGTAAATAGTTTATTTTTTAAAATGATTTTAAGTTTTGTAAAATGAAAAGATATACAGAGAAGACTAGTATTTGAACGAAGAATATTCTTTTCGATAAATTCTCATCAGGTTCTATCCAAATTAATAATCCGAAAAAATGGCCAAGTTAAGGGTAAAGTACATCGTTTAGAGCATGTGAATTTAGGATTGTGATAAACAAATTACAATAAAATTGTTAATGTTAATACGACTCATATTGAGAGTTCACTTGAATCAGCTTATATGATAAGTAAAATTGTAAGATCCATGATCAGAATAAATATGGGTCAAATAAGGTGAGAGAGAAATAATAGTGCAATTATAATTCGATCAAATAAGTAGGACGTAATACGAAGGGATGAATGCGAAGTGAATGAATCATGTATAGGGGGATTAATGATGTTTAACCAATAATAATAATAATAGTAATAATAATAATAATAATAATAAGAGTAATAATACGAATAATACAAAGATTTATGAATAAAGATAACAGGGACAATTGCAATTGACTACGAAAGGTCATAGTCAAATTAGGTCATTCAATAGTTAAGATTACGATTGATTAATTGGCCTTGATGTTGGCCAGGGAAGGAGGAGTGGTTGAATATATTTCTTCTGTACGCATAGCTCCGGTTTCCTCATCCGGATGGCTACTGCTTCAGCCGTTTGAAGGACTTCAGTCTGACCAGTTTTGACAAAAAATTACTTACCTTATAAATAATTGAAAAAGATTGGTTTATACTGGCACTATGACCGGTTTGTACTAAATGGGTCAATATTGAGCTGCTCACCTTCTTCATCAAACCTTTGTTTAACCACACTGGAAGGTGTTCACGAGCACGAAAATGTAAATTCCTAGAACTTCGACCAATATAACTAGCTCCACAGAAGCAGTTGAACTGATAAATACAAACTTAGGTGGTCATTCTAGGTAATTCATCTTTTAGCTTCGGTGTAACCATTGGGCGCCTAGAAAATACTAATCGCAGTGCTCATTCTATATGAGTCGTATTAACATTAACAATTTTATTGTATTTTGTTTATCACAATCCTAAATTCACATGCTCTAAACCATGTACTTTGCCCTTAACCTGGCCATTTTTTCGGATTATTAATTTGGATATATAATTGTAGAACCTGATGAGAATTTATCGAAAAGAATATTCTTCGTTCAAATACTAGTCTTTTAATATGACGGGGATCTTTAATCGAATATACAGAGAACGTCATACTTACCATAGCAACATTAATATACTATATTATAGTTAAAATTTTATTTGCAAATTAAAAATATAGTTCCTTTTTCTCTATAAGCTTATGCTGAATTGTTCATGTAACAGAACAAAAAGAGAGTGAAATGAAAAAAAATGATTCCAGGAGAATCATTAGAGGTAAACGACATGAAACCCTGAAACTAGATCTCACACAAGTCGATACTCATTGTCAAAGTGTATCCTTAATCTTGAGAGAATTAATAAATCATGTTGGATTGCAACCCGTTTCATAGAAGCAGTTACTGCAATGGTATGACCACATATAAAGATTGGTAAGTCATAAGAAAGATATAAAGTAATTTTAATCTCATGGTTTAATGGAAGATAAACAGTATATACACCTGAATTTCTTAATTAAAAAGTACTAATGGAATATATTAGTAGTAAATTCATTTCCCCAACAACAAAATACATGCATTAACTAGTACTGTAAAACTATTAATAATAAGGAAAAGAACTTAACTGATACCTACCTGTCCAACGCAATAACACGACCTTCGAAAACGGAGTTTAATATTTTCGATACAGATTCATCAATATAACCCTGTAAGAAATAGTGATTAGTTTTAGTTTTAAGGGAATATATATATAAGTTATCTTCAACAATGTAGAGAAGAAGGAAGCCCACCACTATTCGGTAGGTTACTGTTTTCCATGAGTACAACTTGAAATGATGATTCTCTCTTGATCGAATGAATTTAGTTTACAGATTGTTCAGTTATGCAATTACTTATACATCCACTTTCGCTGACTATTAATAATGCTATTTTATGCTCTTTAATTTCCTAGGATAGAGAATACATCAAATAATTCGTATACATAGCTTGACAGCGGTAGATGAACTGACGAGACGAGACAGCTAAATGCTTGTCAACTAAAATATGTCAACATAAACACTTAGTTAAAGAGTGTTATTTTGAACGTGTTTGAAATCCTTCTCATCAATATTATAATAATCACAGATCATTCATATTTGAAATCAATGTTCATGTAAACCAATTACATTAGTATTGTGATTATTTTCATATATTTGTAGACCTGAGCTTTATACTATTATTGACATATCTATTTGTAATGAGTATTTCATTGAAACGGTTTAATTCTTCCCTTATCATTATTATCAAGACTATAAATCTATCAGATTAGTAAAGGGTAACGTATAACTAACAAACAATTGGCAGACATTATAATTTATCTTTCAAAGATATAACAACCATTTAGTAATTGATAACTTCAATCTATTTAAATATATCAATATCTTAAACGTTAAAAATACCATAAACTATTTGTAAACTACCTTTTCAATTTGTTATCTTTATAATCGTTTTGTATTCACTATGTAAAATAATTGTTGCTGTCAAACCAAAGACTTATATTTTTCAATGGTTGAGATCATGAGTCACTTGAAGCTAGACTACCATGGAAAACCTGGAAGCACTAGACGGCGGTTTCGTCCTATTGTGGAACTCCTCAGCAGTGTGCACCCACGATCCCACCTCGCAAGATTCGAACCCATTTTTTTAAATTTCTTTTAAAGGTAACTGAGAGTTACTTGTGACAGCGTGACAGCAATGTATATATATGTATATATATATACATATATCCTTACATAATCATATAACCAAATTATTAAACATCATTCAACTAGCTCTTGTCAAAGATGTAGCTAACTGAACACAGAAAAAGCAAGGGAATTTTCGTAGGAATTAAACTTATTATCTTATGTAATTAGGACGAATAGTTTGATAGAACATGGATTCTGAGTATTGAGAAGTCATTATATGTGAAAATTATATTTGAGATAATCTCAGTGATTAAAATTTAAAATTATTCCAATGTTCCGTCCAGCAAACCTATCTGAATTTGTTTAGGGTACCCGGAGATTATTTGAAATATAATCTGCACATATAATATCTTATGTGATGTATTATTTCAGAGTAAAACTTTTGGTGGTCCAACATCGACTGGTTCATGATCTCAACCAAAAGCTTAATAATCTCCACAAACTCATACTGATAATTACCATGTCCTCACTAGCGACTAACTTCGTGAGAAAATTCTCGGAGTTCTAGTAAGAAGTCGTGACCAGTGGAGCTAATCCGTGTCGAGTAGAGACAGATATCTACTTCAGTACAATGGGAGATGGTCGCGCAATTTCGTGGATTGATTGAGGTCAGACATTAACACCGATGGATGCCAGCCGGCTCAATGGTCTAAAGGTTAAGCGTTACCACGCAAGACGGAAGGCCCCGGGTTTGAATCCCACGAGGCGGGATCATGGATACGCACTACTGAGCAGTCCCACAATAGGACGAAACGGTCGTCCAGTACTTTCAGGCTTTCAATAATGGTCTAATATCAATCGGTTCATGATCTCAATCAACAAATAAAATTTTTGGTTTTTATTTTTGTTACACACTACTCTTTATTCTTACTATAAATCTATTTCCCTAAAGAAAGAAAACAATAATAAAGTGACAACTGAATTGGGAAGAAATACTTTAAAGGATAAAAATAGTTATTTTTTGTATGTTGTTCACTTAGATGATTTTTTTTGATAAATTACATTTCATTTGTTTTTAATCATACAAAGTATCACGTGAATAACAACAACTGAAATTTATGTACTAATCTGTTATATCCGGATGAAGAATAAATAAATGGTTAGTACTAGAATCTATTTATGAACCGTTATTGTATATATGTATATGAAGTAACTATATTATACGTATATTCATATTCTTTTTATTATAGACTTCTATGTGATCTATTGACTACTACTATAAAATGAAATATTCTGAAATTGTTCTCAATCTATTAGTTACAATCTTTCAAATTCACAGCCACTTTTAGCTTGATCTTGTATAATTGTTATTTTCTATTTATGGTATGATGTAGTCCGGTTTGTTTGTATATAAACTAAATATGTCTGAAATGTAAGATTCATTCGGTGAAAGCTAAGGTGTGTATTATGTCAGTTAGTCAGCTACAACGTACGACTAAGCACTTATATGCAACGGTTCAAGTTGCCATACCTCATTACCACAACAAGATCAACAAAAAATTCATAGAAGTAGTTAATTCAATGGTGGTAATATATAGAAGAAAGATTTCACATTAGGATATAGTATAGGAAAAAAGAATTAGTACGTAGACACAAAGATATGAATCGATTTTAATCTCATAGTTTAAGGGAAGACAAAGAGTATACACAACTACACCACTGTGACTTTCTGAGCCATGTCACCCACAGTCTCCAACCATCGGTTACGAAAGTCACGCGGACCCCAACCAAGTAGTCTGCATCTACCAACATGGCTCAGACTAGAATTCAGTGACTTCAAGGACTGATTCCAAGTTTTGGCTAATTTGGCCACCCCTTCCCTAACATTAAACAGCATTGCTTGTCGTGGCAATCGGTGTTCAGGTATACGTAAAACGTGGCTCAACCATCTCAGTCGATGAAGATTCACAACCTCAACTGTGTAATCTGTACTCAAACGAATAGGGTTAAACAAGAAAAATCATTGAGTACTCAGAGTTGACTCTAGGCTACTTGTACAAGTTAACACATCATTGGTTTGGCACAGTATCAAGGTCATACAAGTTAATGTTGTGATTGTCTATCTTGTCATGTGATAATTAACAAGGCATAGAAACACAACATAATCATTATGTAAACAAATTTTTTTTTCATTTCGTTCATCATTATTGAAAACAAAATCATTTTATTTTATCCGATAAATTTGTTAGTTACTTTAAAATATGTCATCAGATTTAATTAGATTTTACTATAGTAACTTAGTAATAACGAGAGATAATTAAAATGAATATGAGAACAGTGAATAGATATTAATCTATCGAATTTTCTAATGATAACTTACTGAACCCCAATTTAATGCTCTAGCTAAATCATTTCCAGTACCTATTGGTAATACAGCAACTGGTGGTATTGTATTAAAATTCATTGAATCAATAGTAGAAAATATCCAACCAACTGTACCATCACCACCACATACTAGGATACGTAGATTTGGTACACGACTGAACAATTCTAAACTATAAAAAAATTAAATGAAATAATGATAGATTTAATGAATTAAACAGAAATAATATCAATAGTTGAAATCATGATTCAAATGAAGCTAGATCACCATGAAAAACCTGGAAGCACTGGACAGTCGTTATGTCCTATTATGGGACTGCTCATAATTACGCATCCACGATCCTGTCCCCGGTGGGATTCAAATTCAGGACCTAACTGCCTCGCGCGCTAGCGCTTAACAAAAACTTATTCATTTCTATGTGATATAAAGAGGTATGAATCGGCATATATACAATGAGATCATTCGCATATATCACAAAAGTGTTTTTTGTGGAAGATGGCAGATCATGCATATATATATATATATATATATATATATATATGCACAAATTAATATCCCTTTCTAGCATATGCAAGCATTACTTGCCAATACATTAGAAAATTTATTTGTTTTAATGAACTTCATTAAAGAAGTATGAACTAACTATAAGAAAGATAATTCACAAGCATTGTAAACAAAGATGGATAGTGGTGGCTATCAGTGGAATCCAAGACACGTGTTTCGTCCTATTTGGGACTCATCAGTTAAATATACCTACATTTCAGAGTTGATATTCACTCTTGGACTTGAACCAAGTACTGTTCGCTTCAAACGCCATTACATTATCCACTTAGCTACTGAATCCTGATAGGCATTTGATTTTGCAATCATGTAAAGTTTAAATTCACTTGATATTGTTTATTTGTTTGTTTGAATCTTCTTATCAATGATTAACACTACAATTGATCAATCTCTTATTAGTATATATGTGCATATTATATTTATTGCCTTAATTCACAATTACAGTCTTAATCATTAATAGGAAGATTCAAGTAAAAATAATATCAAGTGAATTGATAAGAAATGAATGTTAGAAATTGTTTCTTTGTTTCCAATACAAAAAAAAGAAGGTTTTCCCAAATTTATTGATTCATTATTAATGAATTTACCCCATTTTTGGTCCACCTTTAGATAAATCAAATACTTGACGTGGATTTAATAACCATTGAAATTTTTTTAATAAATTTATACCTTGATTACCACCAGATTTTGGATTAAGAAATACTAATAATGGGTTTAAAGAAACATTATTGATTGGATTTGTTTTAATCACAAATGATAGATTCGATTGAATATCAATCATATTGGATTGACTCATTGAAATAGATTGTTTATTATCATTATCATCATTTGTTATTATAGATGTCATGGAAGTTAATTGTTCTGATATATTCTGAATTAATTGATTTGAATCATTAAGATTATCTGAACGAGAATATGAAGAACGTAGTGGAGATGAATTTAATTTATAATTTGTTAAACATGAAGGTGTAACAAAACTATTTGATCGATATATTGATATAGATGTTAATGGTGTTGATGTTGATGATGATGGAGAGGAGGATAATTTGTGATTATTCTTGAAAATGAATATAAATAATTAAGAGTATAGTGATGATAAGAAATAATAAACAAAATATAGGAATATAAAATTATGTCAATAGTTGAAATCATGAGTCATTTGAAGTTAGATCACCATGGAAAACCTGGAAGTACTAGATGGCTGTTTCGTTCTACTATAGGACTCCTTCTTAACAGTGCGCATCCACGATCCCCCCGCGAGACTCGAACCCAGGATCTATCAGTCTCGCGCGCGAGCACTTTAACCAATCCATGAAATTGAACGACACATCCACCATTGTTTTCAGTGAGTTGATATTTGACAACAAACCTGGTTGAACTCCACTAGTCACTGCTTCTCACTAGAACTCCAGGAAATGCCTCTTGAAGAATTTATACTGTAATACGATTAGTTATGATTAGTTCATGATTTTAGCTATGAAAATTCTGTAAGACTATAATGTATGGATTAACCAATCAGGTATAAGGTAACAGCTCTCGGATTTTGGCGCGAAATTCACTCATCCATTAGGATGAAAGAGTTTTGATATTATAGCTGATGTTATTTCGTGATGAAAACGCTAAGTCTAACTTCTAACCTTAAACATCATAATTCAAGGTCGTCACACAGGTTCATAACCGTCATTTGGTCCTAATTATTAAACTGACTCTATATAGGTCATTCCAGCGTCGTTAAAAGGTCGTCCATACATTATAGTCTCACCGAAAATTCTATAAGCTCTGTATTCTATACGAATGTATGTTTGTTAAATGGCTGAAATGATATTTAACAAGGCATTATGTAGAAGTGATAACTAAGTTATTTAAGAAAGTTGATATACATTTCACCATTGAAAATACTCCTTAGAACATCGCTTAAACGATGTAAATAATGGACCTTATTATTTGTATTCATTAACAGAAAAAAAACTAATTTGTGGATTGATTCGATTTGGTGGTTATTGATAAATGATGAACAGTAATTGATCTAAACTTTGTATCAATATACACTCATCAATGTCATGAATGAACTGACACTCATTGCAGAATTCCAAGATACGCTATCTATCATCTCACCTAAATACAATATTAGTCAGTTATCTAAGTTATAGACAACTTTCTCAATGTAATATTCAAAATAAAGTCATGATATCATAACTTATAAATAAATATATATCAATAAATGTGTATGTCATTTAATGTATTTATTATCAGTATAAAGTTGTGGAGATTATTAAGTTTTTTTCATTAAGATGATGAATTGATTGATGTTCGATCATTATTGAAAACCTGGAAGCATTGGACGGCCGTTTCGTCCTATTATAGGACTCCTAATCAGTGCACCTCCACTATCCCGCTCCCAGGGATAAATTGAATGATGTAGATACCTAGTCAACTGTTAAAACTGAAGCTATTATGTCTAATTTTTTTAAGAAAAAAAACGTTTGAGCAATGATTCCTATAAATGTCGTAATCACTTTCATAATGAAATCTAGTAAATAAGAAGATAATCCTTAAATTCTATCTGCTAATTAAACAACAACTTAATCAGTTTAGATATATTACCAATATTTTTATGGGTAGAAAATTAAATTTATGATGTTTCTTGTCTTAGTGTAAACCGCTTCTTCACAGGATAAATAAAAATAAATGATTTAAATGAATACAAGTTTAAATAATACAAATTCTGTTTATAGGTTTTAGCGGCCTAGTATCTGATTCCAGTTACATCGTGACCTGATTATTATCAAAATAAACATGACACCAATTCTCGTCTATTTTCATCAACTTGAATTACATTAATGAATAACAAAAATTAAATAGGTTAAAAACGAAAATTAAGTTTGGATACGTATGTTTTGTACAAACACTGATCTCAACAGACAATCACAGAAACGAAAACGAGAGAAAGGAGCGAAACGGATTGAAAAAGGCATGTGAGCCAACTCAATTTAATCAAGCGTGACTCAATATTTGTAGTCAAACAAAAATAAGTTAAACACGTGATGAATAGGACAAGTAGTATTTATATAAAAACAGTCAAGATTAATAAGCGAATACGTGACAAGGTCACAATGTAGTTTTGGGAAAATGTGTCCAGAAACTAGAATAACCTATATGGGACTTAACATAGAACTAGACAGTACAAGCTCTACTAGGGTTACTAGCGTTTCCATGCCTTGGTAAAAGAGGTGTTTTAGGTATCCGGTCAGCAACCCATCCCCAGGTCCTTCTGTTTCGTGCGCGAATGCTTAACTTTCAAACCACTGAGTCAGTATCCAACGTTTTTATCATTTAACTTCATTCGATTCATGATCTTGCTCAACTCTTCATTCGTTTTCTGAGGTAGATAACTATCTTATACTCAACATGGATCGTACTCCACAAGTCACAGCTCATAGTTATCGATTTCTAAGGGTTGTAATTAAACGCAACTCGATCTCGTAAACGTGGCTGTCTGCTTAGCGACCAATCAGAATGAGGCGGGAATTATTACATCCGTCATCTTTGTAAGCAATGGCGGTCGGCTTTCCTCATTCTGTGTTTTTTTTTCAGCTATTTCTTTTGTGTAGCTGCTTAATTTAATGTTTCAGTGTGCTAAAATGCCACAGTTATTGTAATATTCTAAATGTTGGTGCAAATTTTCTTAGATTCAACATTGTTTTCTGGGTTTTTGCTGCTGCTGCTGCTACTCAAGTCGATGTACTTCATCAGGCAAGCTGGCTAGTCTTATACTATAAAATGTTAATCTGTTTTGTATTGAGTATTTTTTTCAGATATGGAGAACCAAAGTTAGTTTCTTTTTTTTTATTAGCTAAAATAGGTGTTGCTGTCGCATGCGACTCTAACTGTCTGGTTATTTAATAAAAAATACATTATGAAATAACAAGTTCTATGATTACATGAATGCAGACATGACCGTTATTACACTGGACGATACATTAGGTTTACATGGAAACGTTGCAAATAAATTCACCCTTTCTAAGTGTTTACTAAAAAATATTGATTAATCACAATATTTCTTGAATAGTTTATTGTTTCTTGATAATTTTTTTGTAAAAAAAAAACAAAAATTACAATCAATAATGTTCAGTTCTGTATGAGTTACATTAAACTGTAGAAATCACTTTTTATACATTCACTAGTATCATTTGCATGTTAAAAGTTAGTTACATAATAAAGAAAATTATGATAGTTACAGTTAAAATATGCGAAATAATGTCGATTGTTTTTTTTTTGTTTTTAGATATTTTAAAAAAAACACAAAACAACATGAAACTTATTAGCGAGATCATGGACGCGCACTGCTGAGGAGTCCTACAATAGGACGAAATGGCCATCCAGTGCTTCCAGGTTCTCAATGGTGGTCTAGTTTCAATTGACTCATGATTTCAAATATTGTAATTTTAGCTTGTTCATCATGTAATCGTATATTCATTTAAAAGTCATTTTTATTGATTAGCTGATATTTTTAGTCCATTATAAAAAAATACTACAAATTATATACTGTTTCTATGACAAGAAAAAGTAATAATTAACGATTTAATACAAATGCTTCATATGCTACTTATATTGATAGATATAAGTAGTATACAATACGAATTGGAAGTGAAAACTTAACGGCAAAAAGCTATGAAGGTTGATTTGAATAAAGATAGAAACGAAATTAGAAAGGAATTGTAAATTAGAAGAATCATACAAAATGTGAATGACAAATGATGGAAATTTGTAAATGAAACATTCAAAGTACACTTCTCATATTTTATTAACGGATTATATAATTCTGTATTAAGGTACAATGAATTAATTTCTCGCTCGTAACATAAGTAGTGGATATTTAGGTGAGAAAAATGAGTGAAATCATCTTCAGTAACAGAATCATATAAAATCTGTGATATGATATGTAATGACATCGTTACATTTCCCTCACCCAATATTATTGATATTTATTTCGATGATTCATTGCACAATTTGATTGAACAATTAAACTTAACCATTTCAATGCTAATATGTTTCAATAGTTGAGATCATGAGTCAATTGAAGCTGGATCATCACGGTAAATCTAGAAACACTGGACGGCCGTTTCGTCCTATTGTGGGATTCCTCAACAGTGCGTATCCTTAACCCCACTTCGTGGGATTCGAGCCCAGGATCTATTTATATTTGTATTTTACAAACAATTGCAAATTTCATGTTATGATTTTCAACGATCTATGCATCTTCCATGTAACTATTCTCATTCAGATTATTAATTATATTCTTTTATAAATTACAAGAACCTGTTGAGCATTAATTAGAATGAATATAATTCGTTTATAATAAATATAGTTTATGTTATATCTCAATTAGAAAAATTGTATTTCTGATGTTTCGTGATTTAGTGTAAATCACTTCTTCAGTGTAAATAAATAATTAACTTTTTATACAATGTTCAATTTATTTGAAACTATCAAGTCTAAGCTTATCATTGATATCTCATAAATTCTTCGTTCAAATTGTACTAAACGAGAACACACGTGGGGACAATCGGATGGATTTGGTTACAAAATTATAGAACGTCTAAGTAAAATCTGAGAACTATTCAGTAAATATTTCATATGCAAAAATGTTATTCCATTGTTTCAGACTCCATTTTTCGTTCGTTTCTACACCAACCATTCTATGTTCTCTTTCTCTCTTTTTCAATCTTTTTAACTTTCTTCCGTCATGCATTTCTTTTTCGATCGATGATATATACTACTTATATCTGTTGAGATCAGTAGCACATACCATAATATTATCTCTGTTTTAAAATGATAATTCATCAATAAGACATATATCAATACCAGAACTAACTATCAATTTTTTTGTAATCAATACGTGTACACTACCAAAATGTACATGTACAGAGAATAACTGTATTTTATCTTAATACTTTTTAAAGTAAAACAGGTTACTTTTGTAGATATGATTTATCAACAAAAAATAGAAACAAAGACAAAATAAGTGAGAAGTCAAGTACTAATTTGCCGAATTGATAAATCATATTAGTTTAGAAAAAATAAACGTTGTCTCACCGGTTTAAATCATGAGTCAATTGAAGTTAGACCACCATGGAAAACCTGGAAGCACTGGACAACCGTTTCGTCCTAGTATGGGACTCAGCAGTGCGCATCCACGGCAGCGCTACTTCGTGGATTGGTTGAAGTTAGACGTTAACACCGTTGGATGCCAGCTCATTGTTCTAGTTGGTTAAGTGCCTGGCGCGAGACTGGTAGGTCCTGGGTTCGAATCTCGCGGGGGGGCAGAGTCGTGGATGCACGCTGCTGAGGAGTCCCATACTAGGACGAAACGGCCGTTCAGTGCTTCCAGGTTTTCCATGGTGATCTAACTTCAATCGACTCATGATTTCAACCAGTGAAATTTCTAAAAATCTCCACAAAACCCATTCTGATAATAAACGTTATAATTAGTCTTAGGGTTATTTTTTATATGAAATTAAATTACCAAAGGCAATAACCATCAAAGTATATCAATAAAAATAAAAGCTAGCTGTTTATTCCTCATAAATTAATTTAATTTTAATTGCTTCTATATAACCTAGCTTACTTCGATTGGTAATGTCATCTAGTGTAATAGTAGGAGTAAGCTTAAAGAAAACTAATGGTGCTCAAAACCAAAAACATGGAATCAGTTCATGAAGTCATTGACAATTTGATTGAGCCATGCTAATAGGTGTAGATTAACTGATTAAACAAATAAGTCAAATACGAGAATCGTACAGTGGAACTGGTAAGTTATAAAGTAAGAAACTATTAGTGTGTTACTTCACATCTCATTAACTGAAGTGAGTTTTATGAAAAATGTACTGCTATCATAACTACCATTGATATTGTTAAAGTTAGGTATTATCTCCAGTAACTAGAAAAAATTCTGAGACAGTTCAGACTGCCCAGAGACTGGAAAGATGCGATAATAAGTCCGGTGTATAAGGCTGGGAGTAGGGATTTAGTTAGTAACTATAGACCCGTTAGCTTAACTAGTGCAGTTGTAAAACTGATGGAGAAAATCATTCGGATATCTGTCATAAACTATGTTAAAGGGCATAATCTTTTTTCCAGGGAACAACATGGTTTTCGGAGAGGCCTATCATGCTTGACAAATCTTCTCATTGCAAGAGAAAATTGGGCTGCGGCAAAAGATTGGAATATTCCTGTAGATGTAATCGTCATATATTTAAGTAGGACCTTCGATAAAGTCTCCCACTCTGGTCTCACATTCAAACTGAAACGTTTTGGAATCCATTATACAGTAGTAGATTGGATAAGTAACTTTCGCCATGACAGGAGACAAAGGGTAAGGGTTAATGGATCTTTCTCTTCGTGGGTACCTGTAAAAAGTGGAGTTCCCCAAGGTACGATCCTCGGTCCTCTCCTCTTTTTACTTTATGTAAATGAATTACCAACTGTACCAAAATCATGCGTTCTACCCATCACTGATGACATAAAAATTTAGAAGTAAATTCTAATAATAGTGTGGTGATGCAATTAAATAACCATGATGAATCGTATCACTATACAATGTGTGGATTCGTGCTACCCAAAGTAAGAAACTATAAAGATTTAGGAGTCATATAAAGCAATGATCTCAAAACCACCAGTCACTGTTAGGCTGCTTCTGCGTAAGGCTATAGGGTATTATGGTCTATTCCTAGGTCTTTTCAGTATTTAGATGATGAGATGTTTAAATTATTATACCCGATTCATGTGCTACCACGTTTAGAATATGGGATTCAAGCAGCAAGTCTTTGTTTTAAGTATGAAGCAGATATGCTGGAAAGAGTCCAACGACGAGGTACTAAGTTGGTAAAAGGTCTATCTGGCCTATCTTATGAAGACAGACTGAGACAGCTTAACTTATTTCCGTTATCTTACCGTAGAATATGGGGTGACCTAATATTGGCTTATCGTTTACTGAAGGATAACCTTAATATTAATATGTCTCATCTTTTACTTCGGTCTAGGACTGATCATTTGAGAGGACATTCGAAGAAAGTTCAAAAACCGAGATCAAATCGTTTACGTCTGGAGTTTCGTTTCTCATACCGAGTAGTAAATTACTGGAATTCTCTACCGAAACACGTAATATCAGCACCTTCTGTTCATATATTTAAAACGAAATAGGACATCCACAGCATTACAAACTGCAAGGATTAATATAGGTCGATAGACCTCCCATCCTTATTACTGAAGGCTGAAAACTAAAGACTATCTATTTTTCATTCCCATGATTTATTTTATCATTATACTTATTTCACTTTGACACCCTGCTCCAAATATTTATGAATGGTCTTTTTAGCTTACAAGTGACACATTTTTGAGATATTTATCCTGTAACAGAAGCAAAAGTTCACTTTTTTAAAATTACACTATCTAACTCACTAGCATGATTTATTCTGGCTTCATACGACAACTATCAAACCTGTTTACAAAGTTAATAAATACAGTTGTTTGCTCTAATTTTCTTTGTTTTCAAATTATCATAATCATGATATGACTGATCTACAAACGTGGAACGTAATACTTATTTCGATATAAGTAGTATATAACGATAGTCATGAATATAATATCTGGCAGTAGAAGCTCAAGAAGATCGAAAAGGAAAGAATGAGAACATAAAGCAATCAGTTTGAAAATGCGGGACCAATGAAGTCAACCAATTTCAAGACGATTGATTGACAATTCGCAAATTAAGTATTTACTGTATCGTTCTTAAATTTTACTAAGAGATTCTGTAATTTTATACTTGAATACATCCAATTGCTACCAGAAGGCGTTTTCGGGAATGTTATGGCGATTCTTTTAGTTGAGATCACGATTCAACTGAGCCTAGACCACCATGGAAAACCTGGAAGCAACCATTAGATACCGGCTCAGTAGTCTAGTGATTTAGCGATCACGCGCGAGACTGATAGGTCCTAAGTTTAAAATCTCACGAGGCAAGGTCATGGATACTCACTATTAAGAAGTCCCACAATAGAACGGAACGGTCATTCAATGCTTCCAAGTTTCTCATAGTGGTCTAGCTTCAATTCACTTATAATCTCAACTGTTCAAAAAAATACATTCGATTGTCTTCAATTGTGTTCTCGTTTACTAAACAAATACTATTGACATATTAATTTCAGTTTTCATATTTTCACTTGTTATAGAACATGGAGTTTTGAGATGGTGAAGATTTGTAGCTCAGGTGGATGATTTTGATGGAGTTTTGTTCTCTGAGCTAGAGGGAGAACAAAACTCCATCAAAAACATGGAGTTTTGTTGTAACCAACTGATAATATTGTTTCTAGCATATAACTAATGAATATATATATATATATATATAATAAAAACTTACTCTTTCAGTTAATTTAATAATCCAATCAGGTGGAACAATTAAACATGAATATGGTCCTAATGAACATGGTTCAGTGAAATATGATTCACGAAAACAAGTTGATTTATTATGATAACCTATTTTACACCAAGTGCATTGAATCGTTATATATTCCTAATGAAATAAATTGAAAATAGATAAAAAAGGAAAAAAAGGTGAATTTTACAAATGAAAAATGAAAAAAACAACTTTTGTAAGCAATGATGGATAGTGGCTAGCAGTGGGATGCATAGACGCTGGATGTACCTACATCTCAGAGAGTTGATGTTCACCCTGGGACTCGAACTCAGTACCATTCGCTTCAAACACCATCGCGTTATCCACTCACCTACTGAGTCCTGATAGCCACTTGCTTGTGCAATGGGGTGAATTTGAATTCGCTTGGTATTGTTTGGCTTGTATCTTCCCATTGAGGTTTAAGACTGCAACTAATCAGTCTGATAGCCACTATCCATCATTGCTTACAAATAGCTTGTGAATTAAGGTAATATCGAGGCTTACGCACAGTATGCACATATGCCAATAACATACTGATCCATTGCAGTCTTAAACCTCAATGGAAAGATAAAAGCCAAACAATACCAACTGAAAACAACTTTTGGTTTTTAAATTTATATAGTAACATAAACCTTTCAAATGCTCATGAGTCCCATATTAGGATGAATTGGCCGTCCAGTACTTTCAGGTTTTCTATGGTGATCTAGCTTCAAGTGACCTATGATTTCAACTACTGAAATGAGAATATATAGATGATGATTTGTAATTCAGGTATATACTATTGATATTGTTCAGTTCACTAGTTTTAATGACTTAAATAATGAGTTTTCACTGTTATTCTTAACAATATTATCATTAATTAACTGAGGTAAAAGTAAATTTCTTAGTTCTCTCAGAAATATCAAGTTAGTTTGTTGTAATGATGTCTTTCGTGGCCGGTTATCATTATAGTTTGGCTTACCTTCGATTGTTTTTTTTATTAATCAAAGTAGATTACCCTGTTCCATCTGTCATTGACCATCATTTCGATTGATCTTTTCGAATGGTTTGTGTTGGGGACGATATGTCTCCAAAACTCATATTTTGTGATTTTATCTTATCGATGAACTTATCGATTAAATGTTTAAATATTTGAATGGCAGCCAATTGACGAACTTATCGATTAAATATTTGAATGGCTGTCGATTGATGAACTTATTCATTATTGTTTAAAATTTTTTTACCACGACAATATCGATTATAAATATTTGTATAAATACGCTTGATTTGTGTGCCTGATTGACCTGACCTGACCTAGTATCTGCTGGTTGCCTGTAGAATACACTTCTACGTCTTACCAAGACTTCTTGATCAAGTTAGCTGAGTCAGGGACAACGGACCAGAATAGCCTATCGAGTCTCTGAATCATTGATCCTTCGTTCCGTTCGGAATATGCCGAATCAGCAGTATCATTCAAGCTTAACGAACCTAACAATTTGATAGATTGAATCTAATTAAATGTATATACTGATTGCTAATTGATCCAGGTATTGTTTAGTCTAGTTGCAGGATTTTGACGTCTTCTCAAGTGAATTTATGTCAATAGTCATTTACATCAGTTGCCATAGGTGATAACATATCGTGTTGTCTCACCAATATATTTTATTCGTATATGCGTAAATAAACAGGTCATCTACTTTGTCTAATGTAATGTTTACCATAGTTCACCTAAGTTTTTTTGTAGGCTATTTTACATTTGTCTTCCTTTAGTGTTGTGTCTTTTAGTCAAGTTTAAAATCTATAAACAAAATTGACTCCAGAAGGTTTTAAAGTTAACGAGTTCGGTCCTGAAATATTAAGTAAGATTATCTGTTTTCCTATTTCTGAGGTTGGTTTTGCGATTTTTGGTAGATTCGGAAAAAATACTTTAATTAACTCGTTGGAGCAATTGCATCTACGAAAGATAGATACAAGATGAGTTTCTTAAACATTGATGCATAGCTAGGGCATTACAATGTATTTATTTGAATTACATTGGCATATAACCCTTCATGTGTATTTCTGGGTTGTAATTGTTATAATGGAATATGTCATTAATTGCACAACCTATTTAGAATAGTTTGTGAAAAATTCACTTTTCACTATACAAATTAGGAAAGAGAATAATCAGAGACATTGTGATTACTGGCAATATATATCAAAATGAATGTATATTATTTAGATGCCGATTCTTGTACTGTTAACGTCTAACTGGCAATCACTTAATATTTATCATCAAGATCGACCATGAATTAAGAAAAGGAAACTTGTTGAAATACTTTGGGCTGAGAATTCTATATTGTACCAAAACTATTGAATAAAGCCAATGATAATAATAAATAATAAATGGATAGAAATCACAAATCCAAAACATCCCAACTATCATATTACAAAACTAATCTTCTTAAACAATCTTTCATTGTTGATCGTACGAAAGAATAATTCAGTTAATTGATTAATCTAAAATAACAGGTATACTGATCATTTTATGATAAAGTATTTGTGAATGAAAGTCATAGTATCTTATTCATTGAAGGATTGAAAATCTGAGTCGATTTTGAAACAAAAAAATTTTCAATGGTTGAGATCATGAGTCGATTAAAGCTAGACCACCATAGAATACCTGAAAGCACTGAACGGTCACTTAGTCCTATTGTAGGACTCTTCAGCAGTGCGCAACCACGACCCCGCCCCCCCCCGCGTGATTCGAACCCATGCTCTACAAGTCTCGCGCGCGAGCGCTCAACCTTTAGGCCACTACGCTACGAAATAGAGCGACACATCGATCATATTTGTTTGGTTTTTTTTACAAAATATTTTCAGATGATAAACAACATCAAAGATAACATTACTCACTTTAGATGAAAATCCCAGTATTGATTGTAAAGACTAAAAAAGAAATCAATATAAAGTAGAATGATATCAAAGTCAATAATAGAAAACAGTCTATTCATTATTATCATTATTACTATTCTTAAAGTAAAAAAGTAATACTCTGTAACAAGATTGTGAAATGAGTTTTGTTTATATTCCCTTTTGTCTATCTTAACATTTTGGATATGGTTTTGAGAAACATACACATACATACATACATACATACATACATACATACATACACAATTCAAATGACAATGGTACCATAATTAATAGTAACAACAACCAACAACAACAACAACACCAACAACGCCAGTATTGAAAACAAAACAAACAAACAAGCCAAAACGGGATAAACAGCGGTTAAAAACCGAAAAACAAACTCATTCAACGCATTCTTCACAAATATAGAAATGTATACATACATCAAACTAGATAGGTATGTATTTTATAAAGAAATAAGACAATTTAATTTCTATCTTAAAAAAAGAAAAATCAAGTGCTTTCGTTGTTTTTTCAATTTATTTCACGATTTATCTATTACGTAATCAAGCAATAAATACTTGAAGCAATGACGCTTTATAATGTAAAACAGTTCAGTATAGTGTATTTTATTGAAATGATGTATATAGATAAAAATTGAATGACTAATGATAAACTGTGCATTTATGTAATTCTCTATCATTCTGACAACCAGAGCAACCAGTTATTTAGGTACATAGAATGTTCGTACAATGTGGAAGACCGGAAGAGTCTTCCAAATTGCAGAATTGCTGCTATCCGTCTAAATGATTAAACCACATTATCACAATGATTAGAAACTAATAAAATGGATAAAAAAGGAAACAAAATGATGTAGTAACAATAATAATGAGAAAGATTAAACAGTAAGACTGTGATTCATAACTGATAGAATGAATAAGGCATCTAGGAAAGACTATTGGGACTCAAGGTCTTAAGAAAGAGTGACAGCATGTAAACCATTGTGAAAAATCTTAAAAAATTTGTTAACTGAAGTCTCCAACTACCCAAACAGATCATCTACATCTATCAACATAGTCAAGGCCAGCAGTCACTGACTTCCTAGACTGATAATATGTGCTAATTTGAACGTCTCAAGTTTTATTTCAACCTAAATTAACAAACATCACCCATCAAGGTAAGCGAAGGTTTGATAAACACATATCTCCACCCCTAATATACTTTCTAACCATGTTCTAAAGTCAGTCTTATCAAATTACATATTTCGAAAGAGTGCAGAATAAATACAAATTTGAAGATCTATAATCATATTGTGGTGTGTACTACTAATGTTCACAGATATAAGTAGTATACAACACCAATCAGATATGTAATAGTTAGCAACAGCAACTTGAGAAGATTGGATCAATGAGAACAGGAACAGATAGCAAATGTAATGGAAATAAATAAACAATGATCATTCAGACAATTGATTAAATATTTTCAAATAAACCATTGAATGTATGGTTTTCATGTTTTACCAAAGAACTCTATGATTTTCCATAGATATACATTGGTTGTTCTCGCTTGTGTTCTTGTTTATAGCAACGAAAATAATTCCGTTAGACAGCAATTTAGTAAAATGGTCAAATTTCTATCTTTAAATCAAAAGACTATTTGTATTCACAATGATATTCTGAATCAATTCAGCTTTGAAACTTGTTTTTAAATAATAAGTAATGAATAAAATAAACAATGATAAATTTATAACAATAGTAAATAGAAGAAATTGAACCCAAAAAAACACAACAAAAATCATACCTTTCCACAATGGTTACATTTTTTATTTTGTTTTCGTCGTTTAACCCAATGATGTGTTGTATACTTCCCGAGGATAATAAAACATAAAAAGAAAATTTAAAGGTAATTAATTTAAACGGTATATATATACATATATATATTAGACAGATAGATAGATAGATAGATAGATAGATAGATAGATAGATAGATAGATAGATAGATAGATAGATAGATAGATAGATAGATAGATAGATAGATAGATAGATAGATAGATAGATAGATAGATAGATAGATAGATAGATAGATAGATAGATAGATAGATAGATAGATAGATAGATAGATAGATAGATAGATAGATAGATAGATAGATAGATAGATAGATAGATAGATAGATAGATAGATAGATAGATAGATAGATAGATAGATAGATAGATAGATAGATAGATAGATAGATAGATAGATAGATAGATAGATAGATAGATAGATAGATAGATAGATAGATAGATAGATAGATAGATAGATAGATAGATAGATAGATAGATAGATAGATAGATAGATAGATAGATAGATAGATAGATAGAGAGATAGATAGATAGATAGATAGATAGATAGATAGATAGATAGATAGATAGATAGATAGATAGATAGATAGATAGATAGATAGATAGATAGATAGATAGATAGATAGATAGATAGATAGATAGATAGATAGATAGATAGATAGATAGATAGATAGATAGATAGATAGATAGATAGATAGATAGATAGATAGATAGATAGATAGATAGATAGATAGATAGATAGATAGATAGATAGATAGATAGATAGATAGATAGATAGATAGATAGATAGATAGATAGATAGATAGATAGATAGATAGATAGATAGATAGATAGATAGATAGATAGATAGATAGATAGATAGATAGATAGATAGATAGATAGATAGATAGATAGATAGATAGATAGATAGATAGATAGATAGATAGATAGATAGATAGATAGATAGATAGATAGATAGATAGATAGATAGATAGATAGATAGATAGATAGATAGATAGATAGATAGATAGATAGATAGATAGATAGATAGATAGATAGATAGATAGATAGATAGATAGATAGATAGATAGATAGATAGATAGATAGATAGATAGATAGATAGATAGATAGATAGATAGATAGATAGATAGATAGATAGATAGATAGATAGATAGATAGATAGATAGATAGATAGATAGATAGATAGATAGATAGATAGATAGATAGATAGATAGATAGATAGATAGATAGATAGATAGATAGATAGATAGATAGATAGATAGATAGATAGATAGATAGATAGATAGATAGATAGATAGATAGATTGATAGATTGATAGATATTATTTACGCCTTATTAAGGTAATATTGGGGTTATACATAAAAAAAGACCAATAAACAAATTAACACTAAATTGGTCAAAGATTGGTGTCCTTAAAGGTTAAATGAATAATTGCAAAGTAAATTATCACCGTAAATGAAGAATTAGACAACAACAATAACATTAGACATTGTTAGCTTTAAACCCATTTAGTTATTATTTATTTAAATGAACTGTAATTATGTTAAAATCTATTTAAAGTTTAATGTTTACTTTGATAAATCAATCAAATACTTACTTAAACAAATGATTTAAAGTTGAAAGATAATTAATTTAATTATGATTAAATATAAGAATTGTGGAATATAGTGTAATGCCTCATTTTAGGGGGGATATAAAGGTAACATGTATATTAATAATTGAATTCATGAGTCAATTAAAGTTAGACCGCCATGGAAAACCTGGAAGCATTGGACGGCTGTTTCGTCCTATTGTGTGACTCCTTAGTAGTGCACATCCACGATCCCGCACCCCGCGAGATTCGGACCCAGGACCTATCAGTCTCGCACCAGGCGCTTAACCAACTAGACCACTGAGCCGGCATCTAATGGTGTTAATGTCTAACTTCAACTAATCCACGAAATTGAACAAGACATCCATCATTGTCTTAAGTGAGTTACTATCTCACGATAGACCCGATTGAATCCTGTTGGTCACGGCTTTTCACCAAACTCCATAAAATAATTCTTGGAGACAGTCACTAGTGAGCATATGACGAATATAATCAGAGATGGATTTTGTGGAGATTGTACTACATTATTAATTGAATTCATGAAACAATTGAAGCTAGAGGAGTCCCATACTAAGATGAAATGGCCGTCTAGTGCTTCCAGCTTTTCTATGGTAGTCTGGCTTTAATTTACTCATGAATGCAATTATTAAATTACTAAAATCTCCACAAAACCCCTCTCCGATTATAATCGTCATAGTATGTATTTATTGGAATCCTCCAAAAGTATCTCATTAACGTCTCCAGAAATGCAGAAAATGTTAGGAATTTTTTATTTTATTAACATTGAAAAACATTGCTCAGAAATATCCAAAGTAATGAATGATTATACGTCAAATCATAACTGGATAATTACTTATTTGTTGCTAAGATTAACATATTTCCAGAAGCTTCTACATGATTAAGACCATTTGTAAACCTACAAATAAGTTTATTTTGTGTGCATAAATTATGCTTCAAGTAAGGTTTCCATTCCTATTCCTCAAGTTTTCTTTAATATTCAGTTCGTATATAGGAATGGCGTTGGGGTATAGATAGTGGGTAAGCAATCAGTATATAGGGTTCAAGTAGAGGTATATTTTAGAATCCAAAATTACACACGGAATTGAACTCAAAACCTACTGGCTACATAGTATTCATATTATCTTTAGATCACCAAGTTTAATGTTGGTGATCCAGATTTTCAATTTTAAACAATTTCCAAGATAGATCGAAGATTATTCAATGGAATGGCTGATAAGTATTTTCTTTCAAATAATGATGATCTCTATGAACTATGGTAAGTCAATAAAACATCAAGATTACATTTCAAACCTAGCAACTGCTGAATAAACTAATATAATTGAAAGTTATTATTATTCTATGAAGCAACAAGATATCAATCATTAATAATATTTACTCTGACTCTATTATCTCATAAATCTGTGTCTATTTTGATCTGTAAGTAACCTAAAACCCATTTTTATGAAGATAAATGTTACTCAGGTGATAGTTATTAAGATATAACACTTAAGTATGCAACATATTTTAATATCTTCCTTGCGCGAGAGACCGATAGGTCATGGGTTCGAATCTCACGGGAAGGTGAGATCGTGGATGCGCACTACTGAAGAGTCCTATAATAGAACGAAATGGCTATTCAAAGCTTCCAGGTTTTCCATGGTTGTCTATCTTCAATTAACTCATGATCTGAATAGTACATTTATGATTGATTTTCAGTTCGAATTAATCACATTTACAACAACAATAACAATAGTAGATAAAGAGATTAAGTATTACTGTCTGAATAAGAATATGTTAACAACTAATTTTTATAAGAATATCATTCAATTTTTATTATTCACATATACTATAAATTCAATCACAATGTTCACTATACAATTGTAATGATGATGTAAATAAAATAGGAATAATAAACTTGATAAACATAATTTGCTTAAACGATTAATGCCAACATAATTTATCAAGTCAATAAACTTTATAACTAGAATGTATTTTATAAGAAGGGGTTTGTGGAGATTTTTAGAAATTTTCACAGATTGAAATCATGAGTCACTTGAAGCCATTGAAAACCTGGAAGCACTGGACGGCCGTTACGTCCTATATGGGACTCCTCAGCAGTGCGCATCCACGATCCCGCACCACGCGGGGCTCGAACCCAGGACCTACTGGCTTCGCGCGCGAGCACTTAACCATTAGAATGTATTTGACAATTGTACTATTATAGCTGATAAGTCATTGTGTTGTTTATGAATGAAAGTTTTTTTCATGAAAAAGGTAATTGATAATATATTGATTGTTTGTTTGTTTGTTTTATTGTTTAGTAAACACTTGAAATAGTTTGTTTTCATTTCATCTCTTATAAGAACGGATGTTTACATTATGCATAGTGTTGTGAAGGGTAGTGTCAAAAATTTGATTTTGATACCATGATGTGCTATACGCCAACCACCATCCCCACTCAATTGACTAATTGAGTGAGAAAACAAGAGTGAGCGAGAAAGTATATTGGGCTGACGAATAAAATAAACAAATTCATAATATATACCACTCTAATCCTTAGAAAATTGATCGATTTCTTAGTTTATGAAATGTACTTGTCATTTAGGTCACTTCTAAACAATTGACCTTCTGATTGACTCTCCATATTAATTAGCGATAATTCACTAGTGTACAATTCAGTAATTTATTGACCAAGTATATATGTGATCAGATTGTTCAAAATCTTTCTTCAGATTAACTTCATCTCATTCTTCTATCGAAATTTATCAAAGAAATTAATAACTTTAAATTCATTCATAGCTGTGAGTGGGAAATTTAAGGCTGATATCGAAAAGTTATAAATGCTTAAGCAAATATTTATGTATTTATATGAATACATAATGTAAACAGAAACTAGTTTTATATTTGAATGATCACTGGGTGATGATCAATGTCATGTGTGTCAAGTCCTTATTCAGTGCAGATCGAATATTATCGACCAAGTTGATTCGACATTGAGTGCACTATGTTGAGATAAGATAGTGGTTGAAGGTAGTCAACTTGGAAACCCTGGACCTAGCTTCTATGATGCATAAAAGTTTTTTCTATGTAGTTCTTCACCGTGTCAGTGTATCCTGTGAAGAATACACGTCAAGTTAAAAAAAGAACTGACATGAGAATGATTGATGTTATTGTAAATACTATGGAAATGGGTAACATGTAAACAGATGAAAATAAGTTTGATTGAAATCATGAGTCAATCGAAGCTAGACCACCATTGAAAATCTAGAAGCATTGGATAGCCGTTTCGTCCCATTGTAGGACTCTTCAGCTTTGCGCATCCACGATCCCGCAACCCGCGAGATTCGACCCTAGGACCTATCAGTCTCGCGCCATGCGCTTAACCAACTAGACCACTGAGCCGGCGTCCAGTGGTGCTAATGTCTAACCTCAACCAATTCACGAAATTGCGCGACCATCTTCCATTGTAGACACCTGTTTCTACCCAACACGGATTAGCTCCATTGCTCACGGCCGTCCAGTGCTTCCACGTTTTCCATGGTGGTCTAGCTTCAATTGACTCATGATTTCAATCAAAAACTTAACAATCTCCGCAACCCCTAAACTGAAAAATAGTTTTGATGATTCATGAATAAGATTTTAAATTGGTTACTGTTTAAATAAACCACCAATCTCAATTCAATGGTACATATGAAGTTCAAAGAAGCGATACAAAGAATAATGTACATAGTGATCTTGATTATTAACTAAGATGTAGATTGTCTAAAATATCACTTGATTAACTTTATAAACTTAATATTGTATCAATATAACTTATATATCTAATATAATTCATGATAATAATAAAATAAGGATACTTTGATTAAGTTGTAATTTCTGATTATTGAAATATTACAAATATATCAATACGATTTATTATTAGCAATCAACGTATATCTTAATTTATGTGAAATTATCATACTGGGGATTTGTAGAGATTGTGGTATATTAACAGTTGAATTCACAAGTCAATCTAAGGTAAATCACCATTGATAACATTGAAGTATTGGACAGAAGTTTCGTAATAGTGTGGGACTACTCATCAGTGGACATACACGATCACACACACGACATTTCAAAAACACGACCTTCAGTCTCGTCGGTTAATGCTTAATCTCTAGACCAGTAACCTTGTATCCAACTGTGTTAATGTGTAACTTTAATCAATCCATGATCTTACACAACGCTTCATTCATTGCCTGAGGTGGAAAATTGTCTCCACCCGACAAGGATTGGACCCTTTGAATCTGTTGAAATTAGACACTAACATCGTTGAATGCACGAAGCCGAAGATCGTGGGTTCGGGGCCCGTGTGAGTGACTGTAGATGAACAATTTTGAGGAGTACCATCGTATTACAGAACGACCGTTCTAGCTTAGGTCGATTCGGGAATTCAATGGGTAAATGTATCTGCAATTATCGAGTTAACTATTGATTGTTATAATTCATAATTAATGATAGTCTTGAAAAGATTTCTTGATGTCCTGCTATACCGAAAAGGGTTATTTTTATATCAAGCATAGAGTTAATAATACAACTTTGCACTTATTTTTCACTTAATATACTGAACGTATGAGAGAACTCAATAAATTGGGCCATTATCAATAGAAAATACAAAAAGAAAACAGTAATTTTTCCGGATGGCGTTTGGTTCTCCTGAAAAACAATGTAAAATTACCCTGGCCCACAAGGGTATATTATATAACTGCGAATAATTTTTTTGCTGTTTTAAATTACAGCATCTAAACAAAAGCCCATATTATTATTTATTTGCCTGTTAAAGTCCTAAAATGAAATCCAAGTATAAACGCATACAATCTGATTGTCAATACCCATGTTTCATAATTATCCAGTTACTTATAAGTTAATTTGAAATAGAGATTGATATGTAGGAATTTGTGAAGATTGTAGAATTCGCTTAGATTAAATAAAGAAATGATCTCAGTTGAATCATTATTAACAAATCATGATCAATTGGGTTCAAAAATGATTGATATAAGAAAATTATTCAATTGAGGCAATGGACAAGGATTGGCCAATATTGTGAATTGACTGAAATAAGACATGTACAAGGCTCTATCCCGACTCACAGCTGTACAAGTCAAGCATTTGCGTGAGACTGAAATTTCTAGATTTGATCCCCTGAGATATATTCGTAGATGCACACTTCCAAGGACTATCCTACTAGGACAAAACTGAAGGATACTGCGTCCGGTCTTTTTTTCAGTTGTTGACTAGTTAAGATCAGTTCATGATTTAAACGATGGACATTTTGCTATTTCTATATATACATATATATATATCAATGGAATATTAAAATTATATATTTTATTGCATTTTGAGGTTCATTAGTTTAAAATTGTTTTTCTCAAGAATTAAGATCAATTCAGAGAATGAGAAACGTATCACTGATGATACAGATTGGTTTTTGTGTTATGATTTAAACCTAATGTTGTCTGAATTGAGCCTAAACGTTCTTTGCTCATTCTGTGCAGTAGTAGTAGTAGTAGAGGTTGAGAATTGCCTAGTAGCCCAAAAACTAGATACTTATTCTATGTTCTCTGCTTTTCAACAATTACCAAGCTGATTCCGACAAATAACCAGTAAAACTTTTTTCAGAAAATATGGCTTGAACGAAAAAAAATTCATTTCCATTGACTCCTGATTAAAACCTGGCAGCAATATATAGTTTTACCTATGAATATGCAATCAATACCAGTATGAGGCTAGTGAATGTACTAACCCATTACTAAAAATAATAAACTGGTAAAAAAATCGGTTGACTGATAAAACATAGTAAACTCCATGTAACTAGCTCAAGATTTCCACATGACATCTTTTAACCATATTAGAAAGCTTTAAAATACAAAAATGTGTCCAGGAAACAATTACACTTCTTTTCTCTTTATTTCTCTCTTCTCTGATTATTTAGCCCACGTTATCAAATTTTTTTAAAATCTTTTTATATAATCATTTAGAATAGTTCATAGATTATGTTAATAGTTGAAATCAAGAGCCAATTGAAGCTAGACCACCATAGAAAACCTGGAAGCACTGGATGGCCGCTTCGTCCTAGCATGGGACTCCTCAGTAGTGCGCGTCCACGATCCCACCTCACGAGATTCGAACCCATGACCTATCAGTCTCGCACGCGAGCGCTTAACCATTAGACCACTGAGTCGGCTGGCATCCATTGTTCTTATCGTTTAACTTCAACCAATCCACGAAATTGCACTACCGTACACCATTGTCTTCAGTGTGCTGATATCTCACAATAGACCTGGTTGAACTCCACTGATCACGGCTTCTCACTAGAACTCCAGAAAATGCCTCATGAAATCAGTTACTAGTGAACAGATGATTATAATCAGAGTGGATGATTTGTTTAAAATTATGATCACATCTATTTATTCTCTATCCCCATTATTAGATATACTATTAAGACTGATTTCCATAGTGAACTAATCTCTATGTTTGAGATGAGAAATATATAGAGAAAAAAGATATAATTACTTACCGTTTTTTCTGTACGATAATCATGAATAAATGCTTCACGAAATGTTGGTCTACAAGATACCTGAACCTATAAAGAAAATACAAGTAAAGAATGAAGTTATATAATAAAGAATTGTATGTAAATTGTATGTAGCTCTTCTAGAGTTACTACCGGGTTCCAAGTTCGGGTAAATGAAGAGGGTAAAGCATATCAGGTTGACAACTTCATCCTGTAGAAAATAATCTTGATAAAAAAACGCTAACCAGATTAAATAAATTAAACCATTAACATCTGAATTCATAGATATAATGAATGGTAATATGATATTATCGAGTTATTTTAATATTTCAAAATTTAATCGAAAGTGTCACGGAAACATTAAAACAAAATGTATTCATACAAAAAATGTTCAAAAAAAAGCAGACATTTATATATATATACATTCTCTTTTTCCTGCTGACCGACTGGATTATGAAGACTTGAACATCTGAGGGGGAAGCATGGGATGAAGTGGACTGCTAAGATGCAGCTGGACGATTGCTAGATTTCGTAGATGATCTGGCTGTTCTATCACACAAGCAACAACAAATGAAACAGAAGACGACCAGTGTAGTAACAGCCTCAACAGCAGTAGGTCTCAAAAATACATAAAGGGGAAAGGCAAGATTCTCCGACACAACACAACATGCGCCAATCAAATCAAACTCGAGGGAGAAGATTCGGAAGATGTAGAAAAATTAACATATCAGGACAGCATCATTGATGAACAGGGTGGATCTGATGCAGATGTGAAGGTGCGGATCGGCAAAGCAAGAGCAGCATATTTACAACTGAGGAACATCTGGAAATCAAAGCAACTGTCAACCAACACCAAGGTCGAAATTTTCAATACAAATGTCAAGACAGTTCTACTGTATGGAGCGGAAACCTGAAGAACTACGAAAGCCATCATCCACAAAATACAAGTGTTTATTAACAGTTAGCTATGCAAAATACTTTGGATCCTTTGGCTAGACACTATCAGCAACAATCTAGTGTGGGGGAGAACAAACGAGATTCCAATGGAGGAAGAAATCAGGGAGAAACGCTGTAAGTGGATAGGACACACATTGAGGAAAGCCCCGAACTGCATTACAATGAAAGCTCTGACTTGGAATCCTCAAGGACAAAAGAGAAGTGAAAGACGAAAGAATACATTACACTGAGAAATGGAGACAGATATTGTAAGAATGGACACTATTTGTATAGAACTAGAGAGGAAGGCCTAGGACAGAGTGGGTTGGAGAATGCTGGTTGGCGGCCTATACTCCATTAGGAGTAACAGGCGTAAGTAATTTTTATATTTAACGATAAACGTTATAGGAATATTATGAAATATTAGATAAATAGTGATAATCAGTAAGAAATTGTATATCTACTTTTCATGCTATTTAGCAATTGTCAACGAAGTGTACTTATAATCTTTAAGAACTAAACAAATATAACAATGGTCATTGACTAATAAAGTGTATATAAATATATATCAGTAGGATGTGAGCTAGATTCCCCCCATAGCAATCAATAATGTTTGCCAACTATCACAAATCGATTGAGGTTAGGCAAGTGCATAACTGAATGTAAACCCGGTAGTTTGAAACTTAACTTCTCACTGAGAGAACTAAAGGCTTTTGGCCAGATTCCCGATAAGCCCTGGTAATGCCGAGAGTGAGGAGAGTCAGCTCACTCTCTCGAAATGCTCTCACATCACCACACGTATACAGCCACTACCAGGGAAGTCCTACTCACTGGCTTCTTACAAAATGGGTGTTATTTACAAAACTGAGAGGATGAAAAGCGAATGGCGAGCGCTTTAACCGGGTTGATGGATATGGAAGATCCACTTAACTTAGTTGGAAAACTATGATTCCAAACTAATGGTTCATATGGGCTCCAGGATCCTAAAAGAAAAATATGGCGTTTGAACCAATCATTAGTTACTGGCTACCATGAGACTGCATCTCCTGACGCTGCTTCACTGCCTTGTAGATCAGACCTTTAGGTCGAAGGCTCCGGGTGTGGCCCTATAGGAAAACCACCTGTTTCAGTTTGCATACCTGGGCAGTATCATAGACCGGACACAAACTAAATGATTTATGTGGCGCATATATATTCGATGCCCCTTCATATAAATATTTATATGTTCAAATAAATAACAACTAAATAAGATTCCCTGTAGATTTATTGTAGTATACTTTAAAGGAGTCATACAATAGACTAGTATTTCCCATAATTCATTGATTATCTAACTCAGTTTATTTTATAATAGTAACTATGACAATGTGTAATTGCCAAGGAACATATTTTTTTTAATTATTTCACAGCATCATTTTTTTTTCTTTTTTCCATTTTTATTTTGAATGAACAATTAAAGTTTTAACCATTTTAATTGCATCTACATCATTTAAATGTTTGTTAATGATGTAAAATTTGTTTTAAATAATTCACAAATTTATTACATAATGTAATTAGGTTTTAATTAATTTTTTTTTCATAGACAATAAAGTGAATTGTTTATTTCATTTGTTGTTTTTTTTATTAATGGTCATTATGAAAAATGCGAGTAATATTTAATCAGTCAGTCAACTATAACATTAGGACCAGGCATATATATGTATCGGTCCAAGTTACCACATCTTACTTATTAGTACAACAAGATGAACACCGGATTCATAAAAGTAGTTAATTCAGAAGTAATAATATATAAGAGAAAGATGGTATATAAGGAGATAATTTAGGAAGAAAGAGTTAGTTGGTAGAAAGAAAGATATAAAGCGATTTTAGTCTCATAGTTTAAAGGAAGACAGAGAGTGTATACACTGACACCATTGTGATCGATTCTGAGCCATGTCACCCACAGTCTCCAACCATTGGTTACGATAGTCACGCGAACCCCAACCAAGTAGTCTGAATCTACCAACATGGCTGAGACTAGAAGTTAATAACTTCAAGCACTGATGCCACGTTTTGGTTTGGCCGCCCATAACTTCTAGCAATATTAGAATAAATGGAAAATATAATCATGCTTCTTAGATTTTGAAAATATAATAATTACAAAACTATAAATAAAAAAGTTTTTTTTAATAGTTGAGATCATCAGTCAATTGAAGCTAGACCACCATTGAAAAACTGGGGGCACTGGACGGCTGTTTCTTCCTATTGTGGAACTCCTCAGCAGTGCGAATCCACGACCCCGCCTCACGAGAATCGAACCCAGTCTCCAGCCCAAACGCTTAACCTCTAGACTAGTGAGCCGGCCAGCAACCAATGATGTTAGTGTCTTACTTCAATCGATTCAGAAAGTCCAACCCGTGTCGGGTGGAGAGAGATATCCACTTTACTTAATAGATGAAGGGTTGTGAGAGATCATGGATAGACTAAAGCTAGACATTAATACGGTTGGATGTCTACTTACTCGTCTAGAGATTAAGAGCTTTTCGAAGAAACTGAAGGCCGTGTTTTTGAATGACATGTGTGGAATCATGTATGCGCACCTCTGAGGAGTCTTGCAATAGGACGAAACAGTCATCCAACGCTTAGAGGATTTCAATGATGATTTAGCTTAGATTGACTAATGAATACACCTGTTAAAATTTTTAACACTCTCAACAAACCCCCATTCTGACCATTATATTTAACTAGGAAAGATTATAAATACATTAGTTAAATTGTGTCATTCGAAAGCTAAGATTACTATTGATTAGTTAGCCTTAAGTTTGGTTAAGCTATAATTTCTTAATCCAAATAGCTACTGTTACCATCGTATATCTCTTTGTATCCATACACTGTTCAATAACTGTTTAGTTAATAAATAATGATGTTTAATCAATTTCTTATATTGATATAGTTTTATTGATCAGTTCGATATGGTTATCATAATCTAAATAACTCTAGTTAGAAGTAATCATTAGTAAACTTTAAAACTAATCCATTTGTGTTAGTGCTGAACATCAACCATTCCACGAAATTGGGCGACCATCTTGGATTGTACATAAAGTGAATATTCTGTGTATTTCTACTGATGTAACTCGTTTTTTTCTCGAATACCTTTTAAACATATCCCTTCAAATAAGTATTTTTGTCTATTAAAGAGGAAGAATGCATTTGTAAAATTTCACTGAGTGAATTTGAAGTAAATCCAACGTTTTGCCTGGTAATCTGCTTCAAGCTTTTTCACTACTATAAAATCAAAACTAGTAAAAGTCAAAGATTTAATACACAATGAGGAACAACAGAACTGTGTTCATGAAATCAAATGCAGTGACTTTAATACCACGTATGTAGGTGAAACATCAAGGCAACTGAATTTGACAGTGAAGGAACACAAACTATGCTTATAGCACATTCCTAAATCTTCAGTTGATGTAAGAAAACTCGAGAATGAACCAGCGGTAGCATTACACTCGATAGAATTGGGTCACACAATTGATTTGACTGGCACAAGAATCCTTCAAAAAGGCTTTAATTCTTACAAAGAGAGAGACTAACAGCCAAAGCCATACATAAATGGGCTAATCCAAATATTATTAATAGAAGTGATGGAATACAATTAGCTGTTCCATGGCAACTAATAATTAATAGCCAAACCTGAACTCCTTATTCCATTTTATCTATCTTGTATTACCTGAATAATAGATATTACATTCAACAGTTCAAATCAGTTACCTTATCTGAATATGTTAGCCAATTAACTGGAACATTGAAATAACACAAACTTTCAATTACAAATACATTCTTCCTCTTTGAATTCATTCCTTTATCTTGTTTACTCATCTTCGTTTTATGCATGCTATGACATATTTGTATCACATGTCTCTTACACAATAATACAAATACCTACTTCAAAGACTGAATAACCTATTCAGTATACAATGAACCGGAGAACCATGTACCTATTTATATTCGATAATTTTAATGTTGAATTTGTATTTCCTTGAAAAAGCTTGGATCAGATTGTCAGGCGGTACGTTGGATTTACTTCAAATTTATTCATTGACATTTCACAAATATATTCTTCCTCTTTATATAATATAAGTTTAGAAATTCTCTTTGTATCCCTATCAACAAATAACATCAAAAACAATTCATAAGATACTAGATCTCTTACACTTATGAATACATCACAACGTATTCAATAGAATTCCATCAATAATACGGATTAAACAAACCACAGAATGGATACCACTCAAAGGTGAAATCAGTTTACTTATAAAATGGATTCGCTTACCAATGGAAGACAATTTACATGACAAACAATATGACAAACAGAGCATTTCCTTTTCGCTCCAGATTTCTATACAAGAAAAATACGAACAGTATATATATATAAAGAAAAGGGAATTAATTATACTGATAAATTACAGAAAGTAACTAAATAAATCATTATGTATCTATTGTTTCTCATATATAATAGGTCATTCACCCCACTGCACAAGCAAGTGGCTATCAGGATTCAGTGGCTAAGTGGAGAATGCGATGGTGTTTGATGCAAACGGTGCCCAGTTAGAGTCCCGGAGTGAATACCAATTCTGAGATGCCAGGTACATCCAGCTGACGAGTTCCAAATATGAAGAAACACGCGCGTCCATGCATTCCACTGCTAACCACTATTCATCTTTGCTTATACACATTTAGTCTTAAAAATAAAATTTTTAACAAGCAACTGATAACTGAATGAATATTTATTCAAATGGAATGTCTTCTACTCGGACGTTCGTTACTGACTAACTATCTGTTATAGTATCTCTCTATTACACCTACATTTGAACTTGAATAGTAAAGAAAACGTGCAAATTAAGAATGGAATCTTTATCTTAAGATGTTTAAAACAACAACATTACCTATAGGCTTATTGATAATCACTAAACTTTGAAAACTGAAAACATGTTAAGCTAAGTAACAGAGTAGGTAATGATCCAATCGGTGCATGACAATATAATCTGTTTACATTGTGTATACTGATTGATCAAAATGCTTTCAGCCACTTTTTGGCTTCTGAAGATCAATTTAAAGAATTCTTATGGAGTACAAATAAACGTAAGTGATGAAGTGATGTTACAATATGTTGCAGATGAATGAATCATCGAGTAAATACCCGATATAAAATATTGACAATATTCAACAATAATCAAAAGATTCACTAAAAGTAGAAGATAGGAATAATAAATTTGCCTAGCTTACTACATTGTCTAATAGCTCTTTTAAATAATCCCACTTTTTAAAACAACCAAATGATTGGACTAGCCATCGGATGAAATGATGTTTAAAGTACCGTGTAGTGTAACCTATCAACGTTAAATGTTTTTAGAGCATGTTCAACCTTCATATAGTCTAAAGCATTAAACTGAATAGTTTCGAAGATATTAGTAGACGAAGTTTACGTAGACTGTTGAATTCAATAGTTTACATATATATATAACTGACGTCAGTTAGACAATCAGTAAAAATGAGGAAGCACTAGAGAGACGTCCTGCCATAATATGGGATGCCTCAGGAGCACGCATTCACGACCACAGTGAGACCTAACTAAGCTACATATTTTTCAAACTGTTTTCTGTGGAATAATGTTACATTTTATGCAGAAGAACTACATAACACAAGGAATCAATAAGTAATTGTTTCCTTCTGCCTCTCCACTCTTGGTTAATGTTCAACCATGACACACACCTAACGATTGATACAATCAGAAAACTGCTTTATATTCCGTTTTTGGTTAACCCTTAAAGTAAAGGTACAAACAAGTCACGAGTACGATAAAATCTCATTTATAATATTAAATACGCAACACGCTATTTAAAAATGTCAGAAATGTAGGCGACTGGATCCACCTACAGGAATATACATTTTCAAAAAGACTTTCATTGGAACCATAAACCAACCTACGTTTAATAAGTGTTGAAAAACTAGAAGCATTAGATGATTGTTTCATCCTAGTATGAGATTCTTCAACAATATTTCATAGTTGCCACATAATCTCAAATGACTGAGTAAAGGGATTATAAGTGGATGTCAGTACATTTCCAATGTCTAAAGACTTAAAAACGAGTATCTTATTGATTGTAAACTGTAAAAGAAAAATTTATTATAAATAGGCTTCCCTAATCTTCATTAATAAAACATAGATCTGTTGATATTAAAGAAAAAAAAGAGTGACTTGATAAAACTCTGAGAATTGATTTCCTTTTACCCAATCATGAATTTTTAATAATTGCCTCAGTTACTATGTAAAATAAAACCCTTATACAAAGCATCATGAAAATATGTTATCTTATTAGTGAATGGTTTAAGTTTAACAATAGAACGAAATGGCAGTCCAGTGCTCCCAGGTTCTCGATGGTGGCCTAGCTTCAACTGACTAATGATCTTAACCAGTGAGATAATCATTTTGTCAGTGATGTAATACGTTACTTGTTAGTAATCATACAGTTCACTGAATGAGTTTTTTCCTTTATGAATAAGAATTATTCTACATTAGACAAATTACATTTAAGGTAATAGGTTCTAGTCTAAACTTCACCTGTAGCTCTTCTAGAGTTAATACCTGTTCCAAGCTTGGTTAAAGGAGGAGAGTTGGGCATGAGGTCGTTAACCCTACCCCATAGAAAAAATCTCTTTTAAAAAATCGCCAACCCGATTAAGTATGTTCAAGTCTAATTCACTTTATGATGCAGTCGATTGCAAGGGAATATGTAATGTTAATATACATTTATGTAACATAAAGAATAATTGCTATGGTGGTGTGTACTACTGATGTCGATTGATATAAGTAGTATGTATCATTAATTAAAAGTGAAATGCCTGCTGGCAGAAGGTTAAGAAGGTCGAAGAAAAGAGAATGAGAACAGAGAATGATCGCTGTTGAAATCAAAGAACAATGAAGTCTGAGACGATTGGCTGACATTTTGCAAATGAAGTGTTTACTTTATAGTTCTCAGATTTTACTTAGATGTTCTATAATTTTGTATCCACATCCATTCGATTGTCCACTCGTGTGTTCTCGTTCACTCCTCAGCGGATTCAATTCAATGTCACCTAACTTTACAGTCTAGGATGTTATTAGTAAAGTCTTTGGGCAGCGACTCACCTTCTATCAGGATTGAGATATTTATGACTGACTGATCAATGAAGTATATAAAATTACTTAGACTAGTGACCATATTACAGATAGATCGATGAAGCTCGAAAAAAAACAATATAAATTTGGCTTCTATGACATGGCTAGTTAACTATTACTAAATATGACTACAAATGAATTTCTATGCAAAATCAATTTCTGTAATAAAATGTCATATGTATTGTCAATAAATTCAGTTGGAACTTCAATTTATTTAATAATTCTGTATCATATGACGTAAGATATTACTTACTATAAAGAAATCATTGATAAAAAGTGAACAAACAATCTTGAAACCATTGCCATAAATTTTGAAAAAAAAATTATGTTAAGTATGATAAAAGAAACTCTGCCTATAGCTCTTCTAGAGTTACTGCCGATCCCAAGACCGGTTAAAGGAGGAAGGTTGGGTATGGGGTTAGATACTTATCTCGTAGAAAACAAACTCGTTAGAAAAAACAACGCTAACCAGAAAAAAATAATTCAAACCATTTAAATTCTGTCCTAGGAGTTAGAAGCTCTTCCTTTAGAAGAGTTATGACGCCTCATGGTGAAAGCCGAGTTCCTGAGTAAGTCAAGAGGCTGATGCCCTTTCTAACAACCAGAGTAAAACTGTTTAAAGGTGTATGGAACGTCCGGACAGTGTGTGAGAACAGAAACACCAGTGAAATAGCAACGGAAATAAGGAGGTAGTACTGGGAATCAGCGAAACCTATTGAACCGAAACTGAACAACAAAGACTAGATACCAGAAAGTTGCTGATATACTTCGGTCACCAAAAGGAAAATGCTCTACATACTCATAGAGTTGCACTAATTCTGTCCAATGATAAAAGATATTGAATAATCATATTCTGATACAGTTAAAATATGTACTGTCGTTTTTTTCTTGTTTTATTACAAAAAACTATACTACTTATAATAAGAATAGTTTACAATTCAGTAAACACTAATTTTTACAATCCATGTTTTATTTTACAGATGATTTCATTTATTGTTTTGTGATATTTTACAATAGAAAAGAACCTAACTAAAGTTTTCTATTGAGATAAATTAAGTAAATCTAAAATCAATAAATTAGGTAGTTGGATTATTTATAAAAGATGTAACTTTAATCTAATCAAATATAAGTAGTTAATGTTGTCATATAACAAAGTACAATTATATTGAATGACATTCGATTGAATTTTATGAATTGAATGAATGACTGAATAATTTAATGTATATCATATATGATATAATTAATTACGTCTGTTATCCCTTTGTGAAGGAACATAGGCTGTTCATCACTATTCCTCAACGAACTCTATCTTAGATAATCCTATCTATTAGTTTTCAGTTGTTATTCATCATTTTCATATTTGTTTCCATTTCTTGTCAAAATTTGTTCTTTGTTCTTCCTCTTTACCATTTCCTTTTTGGACGTCAAGTAATCAATCGCTTTTTTCGTGATGCAGTTTGATGATTTCCGTAATGTATGTCCTATCCACTTCCAACATCTTTTCCTAATTTCTGATTCAATTAGAATCTGGTTTGTTCTCTTCCTCAGTATATTGTTGTTGATGGTATCCGACCAACGGACAGTGGATATCTTACGTAAACAATTGTTTAGAAATAGTTGTACAGATCTGATGATGTTTTTAGTAGTTCTCCAAGTTTCAGCTCCAAACAATAAAACTGTATTGACGTTCGTATGGTGACTTTGATATTGATTGACAATTGTTTTGAATTTCATATGTTCTTCAATTGTAAGAATTCTATCCTTTACGTCTCAATCAGATCCTCCACGTTCATCGATGATGCGACCCAGATATTTGAAACTTTCCACCTCTCCTAGAGTTTCTCAATCATTTGTGATTGGATTGATGTTCTCCGTGATCTTACATAATGTATTATCGAAAAATGATACTCGAGTTTTTTCCTTTGCAATACCACCAGAATGCCACGACAATATCAGTTTTTATTATTTTCCCATTTAATAAGTGATGAAGATTGAAAATAGACATATGTTTCTTTATGACTGAAGATCCGATTAGTATAGGTCTACAGTTTACTGTTGATTAATTTCTATTACTTAAAATTCAACTAATGTTCACACATTATTAAATCACTCAGAATACCAAACAATTATGGATAAACTAAACAAATCATTTTTAGCAATTTAATAGTTGAATTTATGATTCCACTAAAGCCAGAACATCATGGAAAATCATCCTAGTATGGGACTCCTCAGCGGTTCGTATCCACGATCACGCCTTGCAAAATTTGAACCCAGGATCTATCGGTCTCGCGCTCGAACGCTTAACTTTTAGACCATTGAGCTGGCATTCAATGGTGTTAATGTTTAACTTCAATCAATCCAACTAACCAACCAACCCATTCATTGTTATGGATACTGAGGAAAAATATACCAATAATTATCGTGTTAAGTCTGTGGTGGCCTTGGACCTTAAATGTACATTTCCTATTGATCGATGTTTATTTCACTTGTTAAATATTGTGTAAATGTTGTTTTCTATTTTATGGTACGATGTGGTTTGTTTGTTTGGTATATAAATAGAGTATGTCTGAAATACAATGATTCATAACTCAGAGGCTGTGACTTGTGTTCTTGATTCAACTGGCTAGAACAGACAGCGAAGCAGGGCCAATCGTGACATTAGGTCGTCCACTGCGTGTTTACGTGTCCACTGCCACTGTAATCGATTGATAAATACACAGCGCATCTGTCCTGCAGTCTCACACGTTACAACATTCATACAAAACAGCAATGAAATCTTTAAAGTTAAATTAACCAACTTTAAAGAACAATAACATAACTAAAAGTATCCACCTGAAACAAGAATCTTCTTTATCATTTTCAAAATAGAAACACTACAAGATACATCGTAAATTATCAGATAGAATTCAAGTATCACTTAAAAGTTTAGACAAATACAATAAACTAGTTACTATTCAATGATTAATTAAGATTCATATTAATTAGTATAACATTCCTATTGTCTATTTATATGTTTTTTTGATTTAACTAATTAAGATCATTTTATAACTGAAATATAAAAACAAACTCCACATTACATAAGGGTTATATAGTAACTGTGAGAGATAAATAAACAGAAAAAAAAGAAAGAAATGGACTTAAAATGTCAAAATCTAATACAAAATTACAGCATACGATGATGATGATGATGATGATGATGATGATGATGATGATGATGATGATGATGATGATGATGATGATGATGATGATGATGATGATGGTGTAAGATGAACTGAATTGGAAGTAGATATATATAGAGAGATATAGATATAGATAAACTTAAAAAAAGAATGAACGAACTAAGTGCCAATAAATGAATGATTACAAATAAATAAGATTTGATTATAAAATGTCTATAATAATAATAATTCGTATATTAAAATTATATTTGATTCATTGAAAAGATAACAGACAATTATAGCGAATGAAAGCTGGTTACAAAACTAGTTGTTGTTGTTGTTATTGTTTTGGAGGGGGTGGGTGCAGGGAGGTAGGTCTAAATAAATTCATGATAATATAACAACTTCATTGTATGAAAAAAAGGAGAAGAATTACTGAAGTGTACACATCAGATTGTTGGGTATTTTTTACTTATTTCTCACTTGTTCAACTGTATACATTTATATCATCTATAAAAATACCATTTAAATTCTACTATGTACATGGTAACATGGAATAAATTAAGCTTAGTAACTTAATCAAATTATAATGAATCTGAAGCTTTGAAAAAAATTCTGTAATGAACTAATACTTAGATGGGAATAAGCAATTTATTTTTCAATTCAAAATTGAAAATTATACATTGAAATACTTCATTTCTACACCAACCATCAATTGTCTCTTACAAACTTAATTTTATCTTTATTCCAGCTCTCATTACAATTACTCTTTGTTTACATTCTTATTCTCTTTACTTCGATCTTCCCAATCTTTTATTGTCAAGCATTCCATTTCCTATTAATGTTACATACTACTTATGTTGATAGATATAAGTAGCATAGATCATACTTTCAGTTTACATATTACATCATTTGTAAATGCTAAAATTATAGACACATTTAAACTGTTTATTATGAAATAAATAATTGTGTTAATTTAATAATCTACATTGAGGTCATATGCTTAATTAAGATTAGTAAATGATGTAGACCGTGAAAAAACAACAATGGAACAACCTCCATATCTATTTCACATCTGTTGGCTGATTATTCTATTATTAAAATTAAGATAAGATTATTATTATTGTTAAAATTATCTAACCAATTTTTTGATACTGTACATAATAATAGATTTTTCAAATAAAATTATGGTATTGGGGTTAACATGACATGGCTCGAAATCGTTTACAGTGAAGCAGGTGGATCCACTCATTGTGTTCTCCTTAATTCTAACCTTCTGAATACTTCATGTCCCTTTCCTTTTTTCGCTTTACAAATTTATTTCACTGGAGTATACTCTTTGAATAACATCTTCAAACCCTAATGTTTCCGATTACTGTTTATACTTTTATTACCTCTACCACTATGGGATTTGAGTCAACAAGTGAATCTCTGTGTTAATGTGGTTTGGCATTTCGAACTGATGTACGTACGTACGAACGAAGTTCCACGTTGTTACTGACTGACTGACTGAGTGATAGCGATTAACCACTTAGAATCGAGAACTCAGCTTTGCGTGAAATTCAAATATCAAGTATAACAAGAGGTAGAAAAACCATGTTACACCGTTCAAAACGTTCGAAGTGAAAATCTTAGAAAAAAAATCATAGTATTTTTGTGGCCTGATATCTGACTTCAATTAAATCGTATGAATGTTATTGAAATACATATGTCACCTATCTTCATATATAATTATCGACTTAACTTGCGTTAGTGAATAACGGAATTAAAATAAGTCAAATATGAGGATGGATTTCTAATATATGTATTGTACAATCGTTGATCGGAACAGATAATCAGAGAGACGTAGAAAAGGAAGAGAAGAGAGCGAAACGAGACGGCACATAGGAGAGGAGTGTGAGCCAACTCCAATTAACCAAGTGTTAATCAAGATTTATAGTCACACAAAAAAAGTACACATATGTGATGAATAGGATAAGAAGCGTACGCACACATACACTCATAAAAAACAGTTAGAGTTGATAAGTGAGTAATTGACTAGGTAAGAATGTAACTCAAGAAGAATGGATAATTTGGCCTAGCCAGAAGCTAAAATAAGTTATGTAGGCTGAACATAATAGCCGACACTCCAATGTACTACGAAAAAAAGCATTATGTGCTTAATCCAATCCCTGTGGATTGTATACAGCAAACAAATTAACACGCTTTCAAAATCTGAAACCCTAAACCCCCCAATGATATCATGAACTTATCTAAATCAGATTACCATTCGAAACATGGAAACATTATACAGCCTTTTCGTCCTAATATGGAACTCCGCAGCAATGCACATCTATGACCTCACACACGAGAGTCGAACCTAGGACCTTCAGTTTTATGTGTCACCACTCAACCTCCAGATCATTGAGGTGGGATTTAACGTCTAACTAGAGTTTTTAACATATCAAAATACTTGAGCTGAAATAAATACGAGGACATTAAAAGACCACAGTAAAATATAAATTCCTAGTTTGTTTAATAAATATTTTTCTTTCTGTAGTCAATTATATAGTCACTCTGTGTTACTCCGCAACAACAAAAACGTATGTTTCTAATTACTTTTAATTAAGTAGCTTTTAGCATTTTTTTTTAGAAATTTAAAAGTTGTTTCATTAATTATATTTCGTAACTACGGTAATTAAACTAACATTTAATAATACTAAATCAACATTTTAATGCGGCTTTTTCAATAAGACTTTCATATAATAAGTTATTTTATTATAAACCTAAAACAAAATGTAATAAAAATATAATTTACACCATAGATTGACTACAGCTGAAGAGTCAAATTTGCATACTTATTAACCCTCCCCCTCTATCTGAAGGTTAAACACAAAATCTTTATGCCTCATATAATGTGTATTACACTTAGATTACTTAAGAATTTCATAGTAATACAAAGTATCTATTCATCACTCCACAATATTCAATGATTGTCTAGCTAAAATCATACCGTAAAGTGAATCGAACAATCCTCTTAAATATTTTAAAATAACACAATCAAATAACGTAAAGAATTTTGATTGAAGATAGGACTGTAATATTATTCGGAGAACATTACTCATACCGTAACATGTATTATTCCAGTTGAATCAGAGAAACAGTTATAATTCTCAAACCGCTACATTTCATCTATATAACCCTATACTGATAATTACCATGTGCTCAATATTGAATAACTTCGTGAGGGAATTCTCGGAGTCCTAGTAAGAAGCCGTGACCAGTGGAGCTGATCCGTGATGGGTAGATACAGTTATCTACCTCAGTACAACGGAAGATGATCGCGCAATTTCGTGGATTGGTTAAGGTTAGACATTAACACCATTGGTTGCTGGCCGGTTCAGTGGTCCAGTAGGTTAAGCATTTGCGCGCTAGACGGAAGGCTCTGGGTTCGAATCCCACGAGCGGGATCGGGAATGCGCACTGCTGAGCAGTCTCACAATAGGACGAAAAGGTCGTCCAGTACTTCCAGCTTTCCAATGATGGTGTAACATCAATCAGTTGAAGATCTTAATCAATCATCTATCAGTAGTTTGACGAGTAAATTGGACATCGTTTCACAGTTAATTCATCAACATTTAAATGTATACAATGACTTATAAATATGAAATTTAAAAAAACGATGGGACTATCATTGAACTTACAGTACATTCTGATTCATCAACATAGCACGTTTCCGTAGAAGTTGTATCATTCCATAAATGTTCACCAATTAATGCAGCATTCTGAAAAGTAACAATTTCATTGAAGTAAAAGTTCTAAGATTTGTAAAACTGTATGCATAATCAACTTCAAAATTCACCAAAAAACAACTTTAATGTATAATTTAATATTGATGATTCTTCGACATGAAACTTGTTAGTGACAAACATTTCTTTGCAAAATATGTGGTTAATCTTGAAATATACTTTATTCAGCTTGATAGTTTGTTAATTGTTTCAAGGAAAGAGATAGATAAGCAAAGCAAATATACGATCTTCAGTCCATCTAATACATTATTAAGTACCTAACATACAATGAGATGTTAAGATATTGAGACTCCAAAAGAACAGTCACAAGAGTTTTACAACTGAATATCACCTAAGCATTCCTTTTTTTTATTATCTTGATTTCGAAACCTTACGGATGTTTTCTGTCATTATTATGAAGTTCTAGGAAGTTAGCTGAATGTTATCGAAATTATGAACTGACCTGAGTTAGACAACCATTAAAAACCGAAAAGCATTGAATATTTGTTTTGTCCCAGTATACATTCCCTCAGTAGTGCGCATCCACAACATTAGATATTGGATATAGTAACTTCAGCTCTCTTGAAGAAGACTTGATATTAAGACTGCTGATCGGGCATCCAATGACTTCAACGTCAAAATTCAGTCCCTTCATGGTACCGCATTTTGGCTTTTGTAAAATAACTGCCTCCCACTCCATATGGTTAAACTTAATTGGTTCAGGTTTCGCATAGGAACATCCACATTCTATTCCAATAGGGAAAACTTAATCCCAATAGTATAACTTGATTTGTTAAAAAGAATGATTGTGAATGACAGAAGTCACGTTTACTGTTTAAATACCATTAAATTGAATATTATTTTGTCATAGAATTTATTAGAATCATATTGAACAATTTCATACATACATACACTATTTTTAAGCACGCATGGATAGTGGATAGTTTCGTCATATTTAGGACTCGTCAGTTGAACATACCTGCATCTCATAGTTGATATTCACTCCGGGACCGGGACCCGGACCCAGTACCGTTATCCACTTAGCTACTGCGTCTTGATAGCCACTTGCTTGTGCAATGAGGTGAAGTTTAAATTTACTTGGTATTCTTTTACTTATATCTTCCCATTGTTATTTAGAACTGCAATTGATCAATCTCTTATTGGCATATGTGCATCTTGTGTGTACTGCTTTGATATTGCCTTAAGTCACAAGCTTTCTAAGCAAACATGGATAGTGGATAACGCAATGGCGTTTGGAGAGAATGGTAGTGGGTTCGAGTTCCACAGTGTACATCAACTCTGGGATGCAGGTTTATGCAGCTGACGAGTCCCAAACAAGACGAAACGCACGTCATGGATTCCACTGCTAGCCACCGCCATCCATCTTTGCTCATAATGCTTCTGACTTAAGGCTATATCGAGGCAATACTCACAGTATGCACATATGCCAATAATAGACTGATCAATTACAGTTCTAAACATCAATGCGAAACTTCAAGTAAAACAACAGCAAATGAATTTACACATACACTGTGACTTGATTTAATAACAATGATGGAATTGTCAGTATGGGGGTTGTGGAGATTGTTAAGTTTTTGGTTGAGATCATGAATTAATTGATGTTAGACCACCGTTGGAAACCTGGAAGCACTGGACGGCCGTTTCGTCCTAGTATGGGACTCCTCAGCAGTGCGCATCCACGGCCCCGCAACCCGCGGGATTCGAACCCAGGACCTACTGGCTTCGCGCCTAAGCACTTAACCATTAGGCCACTGAGCCGGCATCCAAGGGTGTTAGTGTCTAACATCAACCAATCCACGAAATTGCGCGACCACCTTCCATTGTACTGAGGTTGATACCTGTCTCTACCCGACACGGATTAGCTCCACTGGTCACGACTTCTCACTAGAACTCCGAGAATTTCCTCACGAAGGAATTATTTGATTCACTTTTATAACCAAGTTATCTAACTGACTTTAGATACTCAAAAAATCCTAATTAATTAACCTATTGTAAACATAATAATCCAGATCAATAACCCTAGCCTCTTTTTAAATATTTAAGTGTTATTTATGGTTTGAAAATGATTGTTTACTCGAAAGTAATTCAACACATTCAAAATGATATTACTATTCCAAAAAGAAGATGAAAAATATATGATTTTGCAATCTGTGTTCCTGATATTGCAATATATGTCTGTTTTGATGAAAACAACAACTGATTGTACATAAAAGAACTCACAATTGATTGATCACTGTGTGGTGATCAATGTCATGTGTGTCAAGTCCTTATTTAGTGCAGATCGATTGCTATCGACCATGTTGCAATGTGGTCACCAGTCTAGATGACTCGACATTGCGGGCACTATATATTGAGATTAGATGGTGGTTGGAGGTAGTACCAAGTAGCATGAAACTCGGGTCCATGGTTTCCTGTCGACTACCTCCAACCACCATCTAACATAAAAGAACTATGTGAAGTGAATGAAAACTTTACTCTTTATTAGGAAACCTAGTTTTTGACATACGGTGAATACATAGGTTCATACATGAATTCATCTTCTAAACACTTTTACATTTATTGTTGATCATTCAAGTAAACAAAGGTCATGTTTAATTTGTACCTAGTACTTACTTAACAACATTAAAACATATGTCAAACTAGTTTGATAGTAGTTTCAAAACTCTCTAAAATATCTATGATAACATCATTTGTTTTTAAGAATTCGAAAAGAATATATCGAGGACAAAGAAGAATATGAGGTCATTGTTGTTAGATTATCATGTAAAATAGCATTTCGTTAACTTAAATAACCATCTAATCAACTGATATTGTGATATTTGACATAACGTTAAACTACCATATTGAGAAAGCAAAACAATATATTCATTCAATAAAACCTTAGTAAAAATCTACTAACCTATATAGAAATAAACTATTTAAGTAGTTTTATAGATGACATTGAAGATATATCTACTTATTAGAAAGGATAATTTTATTATTCTAAACATGATATGACTTGACATCATATTTCCTAATGAATATTCCATGAATGATAACTATAGAATAGTACTATGTTTCCATTACTCCATAGTACTCTATAATGATATTATGATTGACTTTTTTTTACTTTTAAAAATAAAGTACTGACATCAAAATAGGAAGAGATAGAGGGTAAATAATTATTGTCTGATTATTTAGGACAATGTTTAAACAATGATAAAAGTCATTTCATTTTTATGTATCTAGATGTGTAAGAGATTTCAAGAATGCATCAAACTAAGGGTACTTTATAAAAAGATGACTTTTTAAAAATATTGTGAAAATAATTGGTAAACCAATACTTTGTGTAATAGTCAAATTCATGAGTCAATTGAAGCTAGTATGGGACTCCACAGCAGTGTGCATCCACGATCGTTCCCGCGAAATTCGAACTCAAGACCTATCGGCCTTGTGCGCGAATGCTTAACCTCTAGACCACTAAGCCGGCATCCAACGGTGTTAATGTCTAACTTATGTGATTAACTAATATTCCGTAGACATAGTAACTTCATTTCTTATGCTACGTTATGAGTATTTCTAATAAATATTATAAAATCATTATAGATCATGACGTAAAGGATATTGATTGTATATTGCTGAATGTAAATCACAACACAAACTGTAATTAACTGTTATTTAAAAAATGACCAGTTATGATACAATTCAATTTTAATTAAAGTTATTCACTTAAAGATTCATTCATATACATTTAGCGTGTATTCCGAATCACAGTATAAAATACCAATGGTATATGTATATAGGTAGATAAATAGATGGATAGATAAGGAAAGCCTGATAATGATTATATCAAATACTATTCTTTAAAATAAATAATGTTTGTTTTTCTCATTTACATTATTTATTCAATATTTTACTTACTGTCCAATTGGGTGTAGCTGACATAAATGAGCATAATGTACTAGAAGATGTATGTAACAATTCATTATTTCCTTGATTTTGTTGTTGTTGCTGTTGTTGTTGGCTAGAGAGTAGAAAGAAAAGACAACGATAATTACTTAGTGATAATGTTTATATATATATATATATATATATATATATATATACATGCTTATATAGAGAATTATGATAGAATAGCATTAAAAGTAATGAACAATAATGAAAGTGGATGCGCACTGCTGAGGAGTCCCACAATAGGACGAAACGGCCATCCAGTGTTTCCAGGTTTTCCATGGTGGTCTAATTCCAACTGACTCATGGTCTCAACTATTGTAATAATGAAAGGCCTAACTAATATCATTATGCTTACCGTTGAAGTACGGTTGTGTGCATTTCAATTACTTTTATACTATAATGATATATATATATATATATATATATATAAACTTGACAACCTTGACATATATTGATTAGCTGGTTAACTTAAGGCTAACATGTACCAATGTCTTGAATGCCTATTCCAATCATGATAATAAACTAATAATTAATCAATCACAATAATACAATAAAAATGACTTTTAAACTTATTATGAAATCTGTAAACAAAATATTTATTTTTGTTTTATTATTTTTGGTCCTCAGGTAACTGTGCCAATAAAATTGTAATGAAACCGACAATAAATTGATAATAATCTGTGAAGGCGCAGATTGGTAAAGCAAGAGCAGTATATTTCCAACTGAAGAACATCTGGAACTCAAAACAAATGTCTGTCAACCAACACCAATGTCAGAATTTTCAATACAAATATCAAGACAGTTCTACTGTATGGGGCGGAAACCTGGAGAACTACGAAATCCATCATCCAGAAAATACAGGTGTTTATTGACAGTTGTCTACGCAACATACTTCGAATCCATTGGTCAGAAACAACCTAATGTGGGAGCGAACAAATCAGATCTCAGCGGAGGAAGAAATCAGGAAGAAGTGCTGGAAGTGGATAGGATACACATGGAAGAAAGAACCCAACTGAGTCATAAGGCAAACTCTCACACGGAATCCTTAAGGCCAAAGTAGGAGAGAAAGACCGAAGAACAAGAATTGGATGGTACTAGAAAAGAAGGTCCAGGACAGAGTGTGTTGGAGAATGCTGGTCGGCGACCTATGCTCCATTAGGAGTAACAGGAGTAAGTAAAGTAAGTAAAGTAAATGAAATATTCGAAAGTGTTTTATTTTAAAGTTTATGTTGATCGTTTATTAAGAATAGTAGGATAATTATTGAAAAGTAGAGACTATAGAATACTCATATTAGTGTGTAAAGATGGATAGAAATTTACAAATTATAATGAAATAACTGTTCAGTTCTCTTGATGACATTGTGAATGTTCAGATCATTAGCGGATGCGCCCCGCTGAAGAGTTCCACAATAGGACGAAACGACCGTCCAGTACTTCCAGGTTTTCCATGATGGTCTAACTTCAATTGACACATGATCTCAACTCTTAAAATTACTATAATCTACACTAAACTCCTTCCGATAGTTTATTATTATTATTATTATTAGTAGTAGTAGTAGTAGTAGTAGTAGTAGTAGTAGTAGTGGTAGTAAGAGTTTGAATTATCTCGTTTTTTTGTATTCATTACTGAATATTCATCATTTTGTGATGACATATGTTCATCCTATACACTTTGCTTTGATGTTATCATTTTATTATAAAATAGATGAATTTTCGGCTCACATTGAAATTTAGAGCTAATGTTTCACGTTTTCATTTGTCAGATTGATATGCCAGTATCTCAGTTCTGATGTTTAAATGATGACAGCAGCATGGTGTCTTTAAACTCAGCTTACTAAGCTGCTAAATACACTATAGTAGTTAAAATTTATCTATTCAAAAAAGCTTGTAATAAAATGACTTTATCATGAAAATCCACACAAGATGTATGTTTACCGACCAAGACTGATTAAAATTCAGTGCCAAATATTTAAAGCAAAATAACTCAAGCACACATCACACACGTTGAATAAGTCAGTGCCCATTTAGTCAGCTGTAAATTGTTTTTCCGAAAAAGGAGCGGTTTGACCTAGGTTTCGTGCTACATAGCACTCGTAAGCAAGATGAACCTGCAGTCCTGAAGGAACTGATGCTTCCTGACGGATTCGATCCTATGTCACCCAGCTTCATAGTCAGAGACGTTACCACTGAGTTATCTGGGCAGAAAAAAGGAGCGTTAGCTTCCAGAAATCTCAAATTACAGTCATTAGTTCTTAATACCGATGAATATACATTATGAGTACAATATAAAAAATATAAATATTTATAAGTTGGTAAACTGGTGATTTATGGCCTTACACTATTTTTCTTATCATTCCATAGACAGGATCTAATCAAACTGTATCCGTCTTTATACTATCACTGTAAAATAAACATTTATTCCCTAGTAAAATAAACTAAATTTTTTTCAATAATACAACCAAAACAATGAAATAAACATCGAAACTATGTATAATAAGTATGAGTTATTTTTATTGAACCGAAATGTTACAAAAACCAAACAATGAAACTATAATTTATGGACGACCATTTGAGTGACATTAGACTGACCTTGAGAGTGTCCACCTAATAACCGGTACCAAATGAGGGTTATAAACCAGAGTGTGGAATTCGAATTCATGAGTCAGTTGAAGTTAGACCACCAAGGAAAATCTGGAAGCAATGCATGGCCATTTCATCTTAGTATGGAACTTCTCAGCAGTGTACTCACGCACGAGGCCGACAAGCTCTAAGTTCAAATCTCACGAGGCGCAATCACAGATGCGCAACTACTGAGGAGTCTCACAATATGACGAATTAGTCATCCATTTCTTCTAGATTTTCCATGATGGTCTAACTTCAATTATCTCATGAATTCAACTACTAAATTACAATAATCTCTACAAAACTCTTCTCAAATTAAAATTTATTAAGTTTTTACACTTTTTCCAGTCCCATTATTGATCATTTACGGGCTTAGTTTTCTTCTTCTTTAATTTTCTCTCGAATAAGAAAATGTTTGCTTTAATTAAATTGACAGAATAATAAAATAGAATTAATTGCTAAAATAAAATTTATTCAACTATGTTGCTTAGTTAATTCTTGACTTGAATGTGATAATCAATCCAATGGTAATATCTGATATTTTCTTTGACCTATCCTATGATGTAATTAAATTTATTTCATATGACATTAGAAGTCGAATCCGAAATGTATAAAAAATATGTTTTACATATTTCATATACTGATTCAACAGAATACATGTAAAGAGTATAACGTTTATTGGAAGTAAAATTTTGGTGGAGTTTTGTTCTCTGATCTGGATGGTTTGGTCGTTCTTCTTCTGAACAACGTCATCAGCACAAACTTCAGATAGAAGTGAAGTGTTCGAATTTCTCCATATGTTTTTCAAAGCTTATTCTGTGCACCTCGATGTTGATTGGTTCTTATTGACCCCAAATTTGTCACTGTTTACTTTTTTGTTTTGGTTGTGTCTCCCATTGGTTTGATTTTTGTTCCTATATTTGTGCATGGTTTCCCTGATTGGTTGGTAAATTGAATTAATTTCAATATGCTTGATGATTGCTGATTGACCTGAATGCCAGGCTTCTAAAAATTCTCTGGTGTTTTTGGAGTTTCTTCTGTCTAAGATTTCCACATTTTTCCAATAGAATGAGTGTCCGCAGTTGTCCACGTGTATTGATATAAGTGAGGAGATATCATGGCGTTTGACTGCTAATTTCTGTTCATGCAGACGAAGATGAAGAGGGCGCCCGCTTTATCCGATGTAGTGTTTTTTTCGCAGTTGGTACAATTTATTTTGTAGATGATGTTTGATTTGTTTTCCTTTGTTATCTCATCCTTTGGTTTGCGTAGGGTTGATTGTAGTAATTTTGTCGGTTTGTGTGGAAGTAAGAATTACAATGAGATATATAATTGTGTGAAGATGAGTAGATTAATGCAAAACAAAACAAAAATCAATTATGTAAGCTATGTAGGATATGCATTTGATTTGGCAGTCAAATTGATGTATAAATGTTTTGTTTAAATATATATAACAAAGGAATTTTATGATCGGATAAACAAACAGGCAGTTAAGAGTACCGTTTATATAAAACAAAAACGGTACATGGATAGAAGTTAATAATTAATCAATTAAAAAGTATATATCTACAGGATTATAAATAACTCAGTTAAATATTCAAATGAAAGATAAACCATAAAACAATTTCGATAAGAACAAACTTGTGTAGGTGTAAGGCTTCTACAAACATTTCAATGTTTTTTTTCTTCTCGCCATTGATAATAGTGTTTTGAAAATATTTTAAAATTAGTACATTTTAATGGTCTTGAGTATACTGTGTGACAGTTCGTTCTGTCCTATTTTACGGCTGAGAAACATGGTCATTAAGAGTAGAAAATACTCGTGAGTTACCAGTATTCGATAACAGATGTCTTAGAAATATTGCTGGCATCTGCTGGGATCACCGGGTAAGTAACAGTGAGGTTAGACGCAGGGTATTAAGGGATGATGATAAATCAGTTGATGAGGTTGTGAATCTTCATCAACTGAGATGGTTTGGCCATGTGTTACGTATACTTGAACACCGATTACCAAGATGCACAATGCTGAGTAATGTTAGGGATGGTTGGAAGAAAGCTAGGGACGGTGAAACCAAAACGTAGCATCAGTGCTTGAAGTCACTAACTTCTAGTCTGAGCCATGCTGCTGGACACAGTATAATTGGTTGGGTTCCGTGTGACTATTGTAACCAATGGTTGTAAACTGTGGGTGATATGGCTCAGAATCGATCAAATGGTTTAGGTGTATATACTCTATGTCTTCCCCTAAACTACTAGATTAAAATCGATTCAGATCTTTCTTTCTACGAATTAATTCTTTCTTCCTGTACCGTATGGGTGATCTTTGATAATAGGTTTTCCAGACATATCACCAATTTAATCACTATAATCACTTATGTACTTTTTTACATAAAGATCAGACAAGTGATTATGATAATCGAACCATAAATGTTTTAATGCAAAAATATC